CGATATATAGGGACACATGCATTGTTGGCATGATCGTCAAGGAGAGACGTTGTATTTATGGTCATTCGGAGTCATCACAGGCACCTCGGCGGGGACAGAAAACGATGATGTGGAAGCGCGACGCGTCTTTGTTGTTTTTCTGCACATCATGATCCCAGTCTTGTTTATAATTCTACGCTACCGCTGATATCCGCAAGGGCCATGTTCCCTCATCCCCCATCCTCTAGGTCTCCTTCCGCCACCCCAGCCCTTCTCCCCGGCGCATTGCAGCCAGAGTTGCACGAGGGGGGTCTCGCTGCAGACCCGTCGGAAAGTCGCTACAGGACAAAAGTCATTCGCGAAGATGTTGAAAGAAGAGAATATGCGAGGATGGGAGCTATCATGCCCGGAACGGGAGATGGGTCAGCGCTCGGGGAGGAGTGTTTCTTGTGGACTGATGTGCCCCATGTCAAAAGTAAGTTGCGGTGATCTGAATGAGCGCGGCACTCACGAACAAGCAGACTTTAGATACACCCCCTGTGCTCTCTCCGCAACCCCCTCTCCACACCCATCGGTTCCTTTCTACCGCACAATCCCCTATCCTCCCCCAGTCCCGCTAGTACACCTATCCCTCCTCGACCGCTCAAATTACCTGCGGATATCACCTTCCCTGCTCACTGTCTGCAACGAACGCGGATTCCGCTCTTGTCGTGCAAACGTGTCTGTTCGTGAAGGCGCTTGGTACTATGAAGTGAAGATAGAAATAGGTGACGGGGATCGAGGTGCTGGGCGAGGGTTGGGCGGGGACTCTGTAGCCGGCAACCCGCATGTCCGGCTGGGTTGGGGAAGAAGAGAGTCCAATCTCGATACCCCAGTTGGCTGTGACGCTTACTCGTACGGGATTCGAGATGCCACTGGCGAGAAGGTGCACCTCTCTCGCCCCAAGCCCTATGCCGGAAAAGGTTTCAAATCAGGCGACGTCGTCGGCTGCCTCATCAAGCTCCCTCCTCGGCCTTCGTTGGAGGGCAAACCGACCTACCACCCAGCGCATTTGAAGAGACAACGGCGAGCTTTCAACTACAAGAGCCAAGCATACTTTGAGAGCGCAGAATACGCCCCTTGCAGAGAAATGGAGGCTTTGGTCGACCGGGACGGCAAGCTCGCGGCGGCTGCTGCCAATGGCAACGGCGAGTCCAACGGTGATGTAGCAAATCACAAAAAAACTGCAGGCGCTGCTACAAAGCACACCAAGAAGAGCAAAAAACCATCCGAAAAACAAGCTCCCTTCCCCGAAGAACCTGCCTCTCGCAAACTTGAGCGCCTTTCCGACTCCAGCATATCCTTCTTCATCAACGGCGAGGCTTTCGGTGCTGCTTTCGAGGATATCTTTGATTTCACTCCCCTACCACCCCTTCGGGCTCCTGGGACGGGAAAAAAGCAGTATGGAGACGATGTCATGCATGATGATGGGACGTTGGGGTACTACCCCATGGTTTCCTGTTTTGGTCGCGCCAAGGTCAAGGCCAACTTTGGCCCCGATTTCGCCCATCCTCCCCCTGTGCTCCCGGATGGTACTCCGGTCAAAGCCATGTCTGACCGCTGGCCTGATTTCCGAAAAGAGGAAGCCGCGCAGGACGATGTGGATGAGGTTGAAGATACCAAACGCCTGAAGGCGATCTTGGAAGCCGAGAAGAAGGCACTGCAGAAGAAGATGGCGAAATCGAAAGCGAAGGGCGGGAAGAGTGGGAGTGCTACACCCAAGGGTGGGGTTCCGGCAGGGACAAAGAAGGCCCAGGCGGGTCAGCATAAAAGAAAGAGGGCTGGCACAGAGGCGAGCACTCCTGGCCCTGATAGTGTGAGGGGCCGCACACAAACGCCCGTAACCGCGCCTTCTAGTGTGCGCGGAAGGACTAAGACGCCTGTACTCTTTGCCCAGTCAGATATTGGCTCAGACATACCCGGAGAGTGGGATAAGGAAGGGCAGGAGAGCACGAGAGAACGATCGGTCAGTGTGGCGCAGAGCGATGCTTCATCGCGCGACCCATGGGGACGGAGTCGTGACGAGGTGGAGCAGGAGGAACAGGCGGAGAGAGAGAGGGATAACAAGAGGCCCAGGCCAGAGGAACATATGCTTAGTGCGGGTAACAGCGAAGATGGGTACGGAGAAGAGGAAGAGGAAGAAGAGGAGGTGGAGGAGAGGGAGAAGAGAGAGACGAACGAGGAAGAACGAGGTGAAGAGAAGGAAGAAGAGGAAGAGGAAGAGGAGGGGATAAAGTGGTAATCCGCTTGCACACTTTATGCAGTCTACATAATGAAACCACCACACGCCTAACAACAACGTTAAACACATGGACAGAGCACGGGGACATGTAGCATAGCCCAGAAAGACGTAAGGGATGAGGCACAAATATGAATATGCATGTTCGCCGCCATGTAAAGGTCGTGTCCTACTTCTTCTTCAAGACCAACACGATGGTGTCGTCGTCATCCAGATTAACACTTGCCAAAGTACTCCCATTACTCATCGGCTTTCCACCCCAATCCAACCTCATCCTACTGATCGGCAGATCCGCGTCCATCACCCTCTTGATCCTCTCTCTCACCGTCGAGAAGAGAGTGCCAACAGGAAGGTCGGGAACCTCAATGATGGAGCCGTCGAGCTTCCATTCGGGCTTCTCTGGCATGACGGGAAGTTGGACGGAGAGTTTGATGGGGTCGGGGTGATAGTTGGCCCAGTCTGTTTCACTGTAGAGCTGGCCGTATGGGGGCTTTTGGATCTTGGGGCGCTTGAAGGCCGGGGCAGATGCTCCGTCGTCGTCGCGAGGGTGAACTTGACCAGCAACAGGAGGCGTACCCGAGCCAGGACCCATAGCGGCCAATCGGGAGGGGTGAATACTCGGTGGCACACCCGGTGATTGCCCGCCGAAAGCAGCAGGATCGTAAGGCGTAGAAATATACTCTCTCGTTGACGGACCCGTGGGGGCAGCCGAGATCGTCGCACCGGCATACGCTGTACCGCCTCCGGGAGTAGGCAAGCCAGCAGCCATGGGCGTGGGGACGTGCTGTGACATTCCCGGGCCGATTTGCGGGCCAGGAGAGTTTGCAGGCACATTGTCCAGCCCCATGCGAGAGTGCATCTTTTTGATTTGGTCCTCGAGCGAGAACTGAGATTGGAAGGTCTCGGTGGTCTGAGCGGCGGAAGCTGTATGACCGTCCCAGACGATCTTTTCCCTCTCTCGTCGCTTCTGCTTTTCTTCCTCTTCACGCGCCCTCCTCGTCGCTTCATCCACATCGTCGCCAAAGATATCTGTTCTCGCCGAAGCCAGGTTCTTGAGCGAGGCGGCGATGTCGGCACCTTGTGCGAGCTGCTGATGTTGCGCGCGGCGAAGGTCTTGTTGTTTCTTTTGCTCTTTCCATTTGGGATCGAGGAGCTCGATACGCATATGCTCAGACAGTTGATCTTCGGGGATTGATTGACCGCAGTTGGGACAGGTGGCGGTTGAGACGGAGGTAGTCCGTTGCAGACCTATGAAGAGTTAGCTTGAGCGCTGTTTGGAGTAGAAGATGCTCACCCTTGGGGACGTAATCCTTCTTGATCTTCATACCCCTCTGCTCCATAGCAGCTCTCTGTACCTCCCTCGCCCTCGCCTGCTCCTGCTCGGCCTTGATCCTCTGCGTCTTTGCGTCTTCATCTTCCTCGTCCTCCTCAATCTCCATCTCATCCTGCTGTCCATTCGCGTGAGTAGGCCCAGCACCGGTCTCTTCCATGACCATCGCCGCCATTCTCTTCTCTGCCAGACTCATAGACTTGAGTTTCTGGATAGAGGTAGGTGGAGGTAGCTCGAGGGCTTCATCGGCTTGTGTAAACTCGATAGTCTCAACCGTGACGAAATCTTGCCAATCGATAGCTGCCATCGCCTTGGCATCTTCCTCCTCCTCTTTCGCCCTATCGTTCTCCCTCTTTCTCCTTCCCCTCTCCCACTCGGCTCTATTCCTAGCCTCTTCGAGCGTCTTCCACTTGCTTCCCTCATCCTTGGCCTCCTTCACCAATCCATCGATGAGCCCTGGAGGGGGGTTGATGACCTTTGAGTACGACTCGACCATTCGGTTGTAGTAACCATAGAGAGAATGGGTGGGGCGGAGGAAATCGAATTGGTAGTTACGACCCTCTTTGACAGAGAGGGAGGAGAGGAAAGAGCGGCCGCGGCGGGCATGGAAGAGGGCAGTCAGACGGAGGATGTCCCTACTACAAGTCAGTGACAGACAACAGAATGCTAGACCGTTGACGTACAAGTCTTGAGCAGTGACACCAGGCATGTCCACCTTAAACTCCCAAGCTTTCGGCTCCTTTGCCTTACTCTCCTCCACCTTGACCTCCTTCTTCTCTTCTTGCGGCTTGACGATTCCCTGGACGGCGTCTTCTACATCCTCCTTAGCCTTTTGGACCATGTAGCGGTAGTACTGATGGAAAGGGTCCGCATCGTTGAGGAAAGCAAACTTGGGGTCGTGTTTTTGAAAGTCACGGATTTTCTCTTCCAGCAGAAGAGGAGTCGGTGATTTAGATATGTGGGTTGCGGTCTTGTCCACAATCGCTACGACGATCGTCAGCTCAGTCATCGCATATGATCTGGCGACGTACTTCTGATTTCTTTAGGAGGATAGATGATGCCGATTTTGAGCTGGTCGCTAGGTCTTGGGGGCCTGTACTCGCCCTCATCTTCCTGGGCATAGCCGCCGTTAGGAGTCCCGTTCCCGTTGGCGGGTGCGACATTGCGGAGCTCGTCCTGGCCCGCGTACGAGTTGACGGGCTTTGGGAGGTTGAGGGCGGACATGGGGGTGGGTAGATGGAAGTGAATTGAAAGAGAGAATGAGCGCAATAGTAGCGGGAGGGTTTAATTGCGTGCCCCGTTTGTGTGATTACGGTCAACGGGAAAGATACGTGTTAATTACGGCGTGACTGTTTTCTGAAATCAACAACAAACAACACTCTTCTCCATCTGTCCCCTGTCGCAGTTCCCTCGATGTCTGCCCAAGCCCCCCGCGGCCAGCAACACCCACCCGCCCACATAGAGCACCGCTCCATCCGTCCGCCCACCGCACAGCCAGCAGCAGCCCAGCAGCGCATGTCCATGCCCCCGCCACAGAGCACCAGCAAGCCTGTAGTCTATCCCACCCCGAAGAACCCCCAGGGGTATCCCCAGTCCATGTCCAGGGGACTTCCTCGGCCAGCTTCGGGTCAGAGCCAGCAAGGTCAGTACTTGAGAGAGTCGACAAAGCCAAACGTGTCTATGCCCCCGCCACGCCAGCCTAGCGCAACTATGGGTCATAAGGACGGCAAGCAACCCGATGCAACGGCGTGGAGGGGCGCACAGACGGTCAGAGAGAGGGGAGAAAAGGGCGAAGATGTCGAAGTGCAATTCCACCAGCTGCTTGTGCGTATCACACTTACCTTTGGAACCATATTGACACCTGCTGTGTTATAGGACTCGCTGCAGGTGCCAGAGACTGTCCGACAAAAGTTCTCGACCGTATCGCAAGATGTCAAATCCAGCATACTCTCGTCTACCCTCACCTATAACCCCGCCATCCTCTCCTCTCTTGGTCTCCCCGTCCCCGCACCTCAGTCCCCGAAAGCTCGAAAGAAGCTTTCCACACCTCTCCTGCGCAAGACCAAGTCTTCCGGTTCGCTCAAGAACGGCCAGCCTCAGCCAAACTCCAACGGTGTGGGCAAGACGTACAATGTCAATGGTGAAGGGTTTGTGATCGTCGCGAGCCCCAAAGCGGGCTCGGAGGCTACGCTACCCAGCCCTGTCTTTCCCAATGAAGACCCCCGCAGGCAGTCCATCGACTCGAGGCCTTCCCGTCCTTCTTCCAGGATCTTTGGACACTCTCCTTCTGCTTCTGTAGGTTCCAACAAGGGCGCCAAGGGCCTTGGAATCGCCATGGGCGAGCAGCCCGAAGCATTCATTCAATGGCTCAAGGCCTATAAAGGGACGGATTTGAGGATGGATGTGGGGAGGTGTAAGAAGTTGAGGATGCTGCTGAGGCATGAGAGTACGGACTGGGTGGGCGCCTTTCTGGATATGGGTGGGTATGTGTTGGTCTTGGATAGGCTTCAGGATCTGTTGGATGTTGAATGGAGGTGGGTATCCTGTCCGTGCTGAGATTGACGGCTGATGGGAGTGCAGGGAGGAGCAGCACGACGATCAGATGCTTTATGAGATTCTCAGGTGTATCAAAGCATTTTCCACCACCGAGGTAAGTTTCACAATTCAATTCGTGACGTCTGCTTAGTCTCTTCCAGATGGGCAAAGCCGCCCTCCGTAAATCATTCCCTCGACCCTTCCCCGCCCTCTCCTCCCTGCTTTTCTCCGAAAAGAAGCCCGGAGACCTCGCCTCTCGCCAGCTCATCGTCGAGCTCTGGCTCTTCCTCTTTGATCTCTTCGCTCCACCCTCCCCATCCCCAGCGCCCTCGCCTGCGCTTTCGTCATCTGGCCGCTCGATTCGATTCGACGCACAGGCAGCGCCGGGAAGTATCAGCCAGAAAGAGTTGACAGACTTTATGAGGACGCTTTTGGTTCCAGAGCAGGAGGACCCGACAAAGGATCAACATGACTTTGTCACTCAGGCGCATAGGCCGAGGATCTTTAAAGCGTGGGTAGGAGAGTTGAGTGATATCTGCCGCGATTACTTCTGGTGCGTTCTCCTCTGATCGCTTGTTCAAGCCGCTAATTGGAGGAACAGGATCATGTGCCATGCGTCAAATACGCTTTGGGCGTTGGATCAAGTGGATGAAAGTCTGGTCGAAAAGCCGGTTGCGCCTGGTGGAGCTACAGGTGGCGTCGAATTTGAGGCCATGAACTATGTCGTGCGTATTCCCATTCACTTTGTGGGTCACTGTAAAATATATGCTAAATCGCAATCCATAGACCAACCACTTCAAGCTGCTCAACGCTTATGCAAAGCGACAAGCCGCTGAAGACATCGACAAGGCAAGGCAATTGCATCAAGACCTGATGGCTTCCGGTATGGACCGCATCCTCGTCGTACGTCCCCCTCCCTCCATTTCACTCCCCGCTGACACAGTCTGTAGACCTTCCGTAAAGCCTCCACAACCTACTACCCCTCAGTCCATCTCGAACTCGCCCGCTACGTTGCCATTCTCCGAGCTGCGTCGCCCGATGGCAAGCTGCCGTATTTGATTAGTAAGATGGTCGGACCTCCGCCTAGTGAGGTGGCCAAACAACAGCACAGCGGAGAATGGCTGCCTATGCCCAGGACAAGGTAGAGCTCTCAAGTTGGGAGGAGGCGGAATTGTGGTTGATTGTGTATTTCCGGTCCTTGTACCCTTTGTATAAAACGTCGGCAGTGCTTCTCATTATCTAGATACCCTTTGCCATAGACTGTAACTACTCATACAGGCAGGGGCTTGATCCTTGAGCAGCAACATTTTACTAGGACAAGTTGCTATAGCCGTGAGATAGTCTCCTGTGAAATGGCATCTGATCCTCATAATGATAAGATTAATCAGACGTTTAACCATCGGCCATGGTAGAGGTGGTTGTGCTGAATGCATGTAGTCGTTACATCCTGTCTATCCTTCCCTCCTGCGACCCGTCATTCCATATCAGACGTCGCTTGACCTCTCTCCGCCCTCCTCAATGACTCAAGAACTTTCTTCCCTTCTTCAGCCTACGCACCAACATCTTTCTCGCATTCTTTCCTCCCTTTAATCTCGCCAAAAAGCCGTGCTTGTTCTTCCTTTTCCTCTGGGAGGGTTGGTAGAAGGTGCCCATCTGGACATTCCTCAGAGCTCCTAAAGCCCCCGAAAGCGGTGATGTGTTCGTGGTAGTGATTGGCAGGGGCAGGAGGGGAGAGCGGAGGAGGGAAAGGGTGAGGGGCTGCCTCGATGGCAGGTGGGTGTAGAAGGGCGATTTTGTGAGAGGTGTGGGGGGGAGGGAGAGGGGTGCTCTGAAGGCAAGAGCGGGTGTTTGGGGGAGGACCCTGGGGGCAAATGGGAGGACCGTTCGGGGGAGACGGGGCATCGTTGTGGTGTGTTGTTGTGGGGCAAGAAGAAGCAGCGAAAAGAAAGAGGAAATGAGAAAACGAGATTACACCCTTAATTACAAATACTTACATGTGGTAATTTGCATCAACTCTTTCATCCATTCCTTTCTTCCACAACATATACATCCCAGCCATGTCCGCCCCCGCCCCCAACTCTGGCGCCATCATCACCCAGCCTCCTCCCCCCTCTACTCTGCGGGAACAACGTATCGCCACCCACTCCCACATCAAAGGACTGGGCCTCGCAGACGATGGTACTGCCATGACCACCTCTCAAGGCTTCATCGGCCAAGTCCTCGCCCGTGAAGCCCTCGGTCTGCATCTGAGCTTGCTGAAGGGCGGAAAGTATTCTGGCAGACCGTTGTTGCTGGTCGGACCGCCGGGTACGGGAAAGACTGCTTTGGCGCTGGCGTTAAGTCAGGAGTTGGGCAGCAAGGTGCCGTTCTGTGCCATGGTCGGAAGCGAAGTGTATTCGGGAGAGGTCAAGAAGACTGAGGTGCTTGGATCTTGTTTCAGACGTGCCATCGGTGAGTATGACCACATTGGAACGAGCAGAGCTGACTGTATGGCAGGTCTAAGGATTAAGGAGACCAAGGAAGTGTACGAAGGCGAAGTTACCGAACTCACCCCCTCCGAAGTCGAAAACCCTCTCTCTGGCTACGGCAAAACAATCTCCCACGTCATTGTCGGCCTCAAAACCGTCAAGGGCACCAAGCAGCTCCGCCTCGACCCCTCCGTCTACGAGTCCATCCAGAAGGAGCGCGTTGTTGTCGGCGATGTCATTTATATCGAAGCCAACACTGGCGCCGTCAAGCGTGTGGGTCGTTCGGACGCTTATGCGAGCGAGTATGATCTGGAGGCGGAGGAGTATGTGCCGTTGCCAAAGGGCGATGTGCACAAGAGGAAGGAGTTGGTGCAGGATGTGACGCTGCATGATCTTGATATGGCCAATGCCCGTCCACAGGGAGGGCAGGATATCATGAGTGTAATGGGGCAGCTTGTGAAGGGTGGAAGGACCGAAGTGACAGACAAATTGAGGAGGGAGATCAACAAGGTTGTGGATCGATACATCGAGCAGGGTGTTGCCGAGCTTGTCCCTGGTGTCTTGTTTATCGACGAAGTGAGTTTTATTTTTTGGCATATTCCTCAGACGTCTACTAACGCCCGCCAGGTACACATGCTTGACATGGAATGCTTCACCTACCTCAACCGAGCCCTCGAATCCCCCATGTCCCCTTACGTCGTCCTGGCCTCCAACCGTGGTATCTCTACCATCCGCGGTACCGAGTACGACTCTGCTTCAGGCGGTATCCGCGCCCCTCACGGTCTCCCAGTCGACCTCCTCGACCGGTGTATGATTGTCAAGACCCAGCTCTACACCAGGGACGAGATCCGCCGTATCGTCGAGCTCCGATGCCGCGTGGAAGGTATCAGCCATACCCCTGAAGCGCTGGAGAAGCTGGCAGATGAGGGCGAAAAGTCGAGTTTGAGGTATGCCTTGCAGCTTTTGACACCGGCGGCGATCATCAGCAGGAACAAGGGTAAGGGAGAAGTCAGTGTGGCGGATGTGGAGGAGCTGGGAGAGTTGTTTTTGGACGCCAAGAGGTCAACGGGGGTGTTGCGTGGACAGGAAGATTTTGAGAAGAGATACTAGGTGAAAAAGGTGTTGATAAATGATGCCAACAGTCACTAGACACATTTGCCTTCACAGACTGTAGCATTGATACAAAAGCTAACCATATATGACAATAAACCTTCAAAAAGCCAACGCTTTCACCAACAATGGCATCTGCGGCCCAACCGACTCCTCACCCACCACCCTCGCCCTCATCATCGTCGCCCGCCTTCTCTCCATCATTGGCTTGCTGGGCAGCTCTGCAAACTCGAAACCGTTGATCAGAACAAAGAGGATAGTCTTAAGCTCTGCGAGGGCGAAGCGGTAGCCGATACAAGATCGAGGACCAGCGAAAAAGGACATGCTACCGCCCCAGACGCCTGGGATGTCGTTTTCTGCTTGGGGGCTGAGGAAGCGGTCGGGGTTGAACTCTGCGGCGTCGGGGCCGTAGTACAGAGGAGAGGTGTTGATTGCGATGATAGCTAGCGGCCACGGTCAGCGCAGGCTGAAGTCAGATGTGTTTGTGCTTACAAATGTAAATATCAGTGCCTTTGGGTATCTCAACACGATTCATCATTTTACCGTCTCTCCCCACTACAGGGTGTCGGAGGGGGATGACGGCATCTTCCTTGGCGGATCTAGTAGAGCTAGGTATGGAGGGAGAGAGCCGGATCACTTCACGGACGAATGCGTCCAGATAGGGCGACGAGTTAAGTGTCTCTCTGCGCAGACCATAACATGTCCATCGACGCTTTGTAGAGATTACCATAGACATTTGAAAGCTCATCCTCCTCCACTCCTTTCTGCTGCAGCTGGTTGAACTGATAGCCGAAACCAGTGAGGCCGATGATGTCGAAGGTGGCTTGCATGATATAACGCATCACATCGACTTTGCGCCCTTTGGCAACTTGATCCATTGGCTGAGGGGGCGTCAGGCTGGGAGTTTCATCAGAGATACCTTCGACAATCTCCAGCAGCTTCTCTCTGAGCTCGTAAGCCTTGTCGTAAAAGGTGGGTACCATCCCCGCAATAGCTGCCGGTGTGAAACACCCGTTCAGAACCTTTCTCTGTTTCCTATGCTGATCCCCCTCAGCCATCACAAGCCCTTCCCCTCCCCCCACCGAAGCGATCTCTGTCCAGATATACTTTGGCTTTGGGAAGAGATCGGGATGGGACACGATGTAGTTGAGCGCGGTGGGGTCGGTAGTCTGGAAGGAGGAGTAGAAGGGGAAGGGGAGAAAGGGTGTTTGGAGGGTGGAGCCGTATTTGGCGTGCCAGGCGGTCTGGGGAGCTTCGGATTCAGAGCCCAAAAGGGAGTAAAGGATGCCGAGGAAGTAGTTGTCAGCGGGTGGGCCTGGGAGTATTGTCAGCGGTGTATTTGGTGGTCAATATACATAGGAGCCTACCAGGGAGTTTGTGGAAAGAGAAGGAACGGTATCTCCAGTATGAGTACAGGTAGAAACCGAGGAGAAGGGCCAGGGAAGCTTGTGCGAACGAAGACCAGCTGATACTGGTGATGAGCTGGCTGACTAGAGCAGACGCGCCGATGAATGTGTTGTCCATGAGTCCCATGGTTGTTGAGGATTGCGGATGAGGAATCGATTGATGAAGGAGGAGTGAGCTATAGGACCACTGTCAATCACACCTATATGCATCCCCTGATGCGGCGCGGAACACGCTGCATGTGCTCATCTATTGGGCATCTGACCATGATCGAGGCCGAAGAAGGCCTCCAAGGGCGCTCGGCCATCGCCGATCACCTTGCCTCGTGGGTCTTTTCGTCTCACATGGGTCCACGGAGAAAGCGGACTGATACTGGTTCACCTGCATGCCATTCATCTATTCGTTGTCCATCTGCTCCAGCTTTTCCTTCTCCAACCTCTCTTTCTCCTCCCTCTCTTCCATCTCCACCACCTCAATATCGAGCGGATACGTCAGAACCGCAGCTATCCCCGTCAACAGATTCAGCTGCTGCCCACTCTCATGCATTGATGAGAATATCAACGCCTCTCCTCCATGCGCGCGGACAGCTTCGACGAGATGAACGTAATGATTGCGCTTGGCGGGATCGGAAGAGCGGAAGAGGTCGTCAGAGATGAGAAGGGTGCCGACGGCACCTCGGTCAACAGCAAGGGCGACGTGTTCGGGTCCGTACCAGGCGCGGAGTTCGTCTGTCGCAAGCATTCTGTGGAATCTACAGCCTGTCAGCATGCAGTAGCATAATCGAGAGAGAACGACTGACTTGTCCAGACCAGCGCCTTCTCGAGCAAATTTGGCCCCAGCCAACATCTTGGCCACCTCCGGCGCCTTCAATGCCTCCACAAGTCCATGCACATGGCTCGTATTCGAATGCACCTTGATCCACTTGGATCGTGAGGCCAAAAGCGCTTTGTTGGACTGCAATGTTGCCTGCTGGAAGATGTACTCGTACAGCGCATCCTTTGTGAAGCCCGGGGAGGCGATCACGATCGCTTTGAGGGATTGGAATGGGATCAAGCGGAGGATGGCGTTGTAGACGGTGGAATGGTAGTTGTCGACGGCCTTGTCGTGGCCAGATGTACCGCCCTTACGTTTTCGAGGGACAGGCATATCTATCCGTTGACGGACGGTGGTCATGTGCTCCGAGAGGAGACAGATAGCTGCGGTACCTGCAGTCCATCAGTACAGGCCCAAGTTCGCAGCGGATAGACACACCTTCGCCACATACGATAGCCCCAACTTCAGCCCCTCTTCCTTCTTGCGTGGACTCCTGGATTCGCTCAAGAGCAATGGAATCCCACCCGATAGCCTTTGATAACCGGAAGTCCCTATTCGCCTCCAGATCCAGCGTATGGAACGCCCCCATCTTGACGAATTCATTCTCCTGCACGACCTGACCTGATATTTGCAAGCTTGCAGTTGGTTCTTTCCTCTCGCCCTGGCCGGTGGCGGAGGTGGAAGAGGAGGCGGCGGACTGAAAGTCGGTCTTGGTCACTTGGATAGTGAGATTGGTTCGGACTCGGTGGGAGTCGGAGGAGCCTGTTGATGAGACTGTTTGGACTCGGCGTACTGCCATAGCGCGAACTTGGTCCCCCTGAGACATATTAAGTCATGTTAAAGTTGACGCCTTTGAGAAAGGACTGACCTCGGAGATCAAGTTGTAAACGTGCCACATATCTTCATCATCTTCAGGTCTGAGAGTGACGTAGCCCTGCCCCAGTCAGCTCGGCTTTTCCTGTACACCTATGTACTCACTGAGCCGTCTTTTTCTATGTGTTTGTTCACGAGCTTCATGTCGGCGAGTAGCGGTGGTGTATGACGGACGAATGGAAAGAAAGGAATCGCAAAAACAGAAACGATGTCATAGCCTGCACTTGAATGGGCAGCGGACATGCCCGCCCGGACGGAAATTCCCTTTCGGCAACTCCCAAGAACTGATATTTTTGAACCGCATCCCTAGATCCCATTCATACAGCCACAATGTCGACGCCCAGCCCCGCAGGCCCCTCTACACCTCAAGAACAGCCCAACAAATGGCTTCCTGCAAACCCCTTTGATATGCCTGAAACCAGGCAGTTTATCGCTCAGAAAATCGCACTCGGTACGTCTTGCGGCTGTAACACTTGGGATATATGCTGATGGGCGCAGGTGATATCTCTCAAGACGATGTGGATATCATGGAACGAGGTTACAACTGGATGATCTACACCCCTCCAGTGCGTCCTTCGACCCAATCATCGGGGCCCTACTGACCAATTCAACAGGTCACAGCAGTCTCCTTCACTTTCCTCATCTGGCAGCTCATGAAGAAACAATATCCCCAGCCCAGGATGATCACAAGACTCTTTTGGGGTGGTCTTTCGGCGGGGGCTGGAGGGTTCTTGGGATTCGGAGCTGCTGGTGTGGCGGCGGCTATGGAAGTGGAGGACAAGATGGAAGATGTGGAGAGGTGAGCGCCCTCTAAAGGATATGGAATGTCAAGCTGATGGTGATATAGAAAATCGCTGGTATTTGAAGAGATCACAGATCACTCGAGGGCTATTCACGAAGCCCGCATTGCCGCCCTCCTCCCCCCCGCCCCTCCTGAGCCTGTGCTTACCCCTGCCGCTCGTCAAGCGACTACCCGAGGCAGCTCGAGATTACCGAAAGACTTCGAATTTCCGCCCGAGCGTGTTCAGGATTTGAAGGTGGGGAAGGAGAGGGTTAAGGAGGAAACGCAGAGTACGTGGGGGTATTTGAAGAGCTGGGTCAGCTGGAAGTGAGAAATGAGGTAAAGGCAGTCGACGAGGTCATGTATACCCTTCTCTATAATGCTCGACCTGGACCTCATACTCCCCAGCATTAGCATACGGGATACCCAGTGGCGGAATTCAAGCAGCGCTCACAGCAAAGCCCTTCGTCGACCCTTTCTTTTGCAAGTGCAGAGCTTCGTTGATGAGTGCATCTCCATCTGCAGGACGCGGGGCAATATCATATGTGAGATTCCTTCTCCCCCACACCTCTCACTCTTCCAGAGAAGTGGTAAAAAGCAAAAACGACGGCACCCGGGATTCCCAGGTGGTCCCCCACCCTGGTACTAACCGAGCGCTCTCCCAGTTGACTTCGCGGATCAGACGGGACGCGGTACTTTGAGGAGGCTATGGCCGTCGATGTTGAATGAGACGCATGTCATGCTATAACCCTTTCAACAAACAAATGAGACTCATGGGAGCGATGAGTCCACTTTCGGTGGAGTGTCGCATATGTCTATGGGTGCAGCCATGATCAAATCCTCGCTCTTGAGACTGTTGTTCGTTGCTCTGCTGATGCAAAAAAGGGGACCCATTCGTCGAGCCTGGTAACCAGGTTTTCATTTCGTCGTGAGGGAAAAAGAAATGTCCCCAGCGTGAATCGAACACGCGTCTCCTCAGGTACTGATTGTGTAGAAAGACCACAATGAGATATACGAACCACTATACTATGGAGACTTTGAACAAAAGTTTGGAGAAGTGATGACGTGGGACTTCAGACAATCCCGGCCGTCGGCCTGACCGACCATTGCCTGACCAAGGGCCAGTCCACAAGGCGTGTATCTTGTTGAGGGATAGTGTAGTGACTGCCAACATCTGAAATCGCAGCCTTTCACGCCCACGAAGCACTTGAAGCACTGTTGGCTTTGGCAAGATATAACGATGCTGTTGCCCATCCTGACATGGGCTGGTTGCCTATCATCTCTGGCTCTTGCAGCCCCTGCTCTCCCCGAACAGGTAGTTCTCTCCGATGGTAGGGTGACGCCTTCGCCTCGTCCCCTTGTTATCTGGTGAGTATTGCCCGCTGAACAATACGATACGATACTGATATATTTGAAGGCATGGTCTAGGCGACACAGCCCTTTCGCCGGGCATTTCAAACTTCATCAACAGGACGCAAGAGATCCATCCCGGCATCTATGTGCACTCTGTACAGGTACCAGAGGATGGTACGGAAGATGACGAAAGAAAGGCTGGGTTCGTAAGTCTGCTGAGTATCCTTTGAGAGCGGCGCTAACGTGTGGTAAGTGGGGTAATGCGGTAGCTCAGAGCTTGGAGGGGTGCGAGCAGATCAAAGCTATCGACGAGCTGAAAGATGGAGTAGGCTTTTCATCAGGACATACACTGGCCCTTGCTGACTCCGCCTGTAGTTTGATGGTATAGGATTTTCCCAAGGCGGTCTGTTTCTCCGATGGTATCAACAGTACTGCGACGGCCCTCCAATCCACAACCTCGTCACCGTGAGTCATCCTCTCCCAGTCTCACGAACAAGTTCATCTGTGACTTGCATCAGTTTGGTACCCCTCACTATGGCATTTCCGCTCTCATTCCCTGCCCAACGCCTCCAACTCTATCCTGTCTCCTGGCAGCACGCGCGGCCCGAGCAGGAATATATCGCCCTTGGGCACAAGAACACCTCGTGCAAGCGGCTTATTTCCGGGACACGGAGAGACTAGAAGAGTTCTGGGAGATTAACGGGTGGTTGAGGGATATGAATGGCGAGAGGCCTTTCGGGAGAGGGGAGGACGATGGAGGGCAAGGAAAGAGAGGCGAAGGAAAGGGGCTGGGAGACTTGGACAACCTGGTGGCGATCTTGTTTGAAGATGACCGTAAGATGATGAGTCGTAACGTTACTCAAGCTCACGTCCCTCAGATACCGTTTCTCCGGCGCAATCTTCACACTTTGCATCCTATGCCCCATCCAACAAGTCAGAGATCATCCCTCTCCATGATCAAGATCTTTACAAGGATGATTGGATCGGAATCAAGTCATTGGAAGAGAAGGGTGGGCTGCAATTGGAAAAATGCCCGGGAGAGCATATGGAAATCGGAGGGGAGAGAGGATGCGGTGAAAGGATGGTCAGGAGATGGATCGGGTGGGAGAAATGAGGCATCGATCCTGAAAGGTTATCGTACGACCGCATGTACAGTATATCCTTCGATATCCCACTCAGCCTCAAATGTTCAAAACAGTGCATATATAAAGCTAAGACAACAAGTACAAAAGACGAAAACCCACCCGGCAACCTCTCATCACCACCCTTCTAGATTTTGTAAATAGTCCCATCACCTTCCGCAAACATCAACTCATCCTTCTCGTTCATCTTCTTCAGCCCGTCGACCACTTGTCCCGCACTCAACCTATCCGCATCCGTCTTGCCCTCATTGACCTTGGGCAACAAGACATCCAAAGAGATGGAACCATCCTCGTCGAGCTCAGACTCGAAGATGGTGGACATGGTAGCACGGAAGTAGTCGAGCTGTTCTGCCGAGAGCTCAACCGGCTCGGGTGCAGGTGCAGGGCCAGGAGATTGAGCGAGGCCGAGAGACTCTTCAGCCATGTCAAAGTCCTCGTCCTCATCCTCGTTCCTTTCCGCCTGAGTCCCATCCGCACGCCTGTTCTTCTCCCTCGTTCGATCTCTCTGCGAGTCGGTCACATTCAACCGCTGCACACCAGCTTCCAGCTCCGCATCTTCTTGGCCCGCCGCAGCTGGCTCCGGCATTTCGTCTTCATCCTCTTCTTCATCCGAGTCAACCTCAACGCTCTGGCCTTGATGGTTGATCTTTCTACGCTTGCGACGTTCGGGACGGACGACCTCTTTAAAGAGGGCGAAACGGAGGATCTCTTCGGCGGCGATGGCGTCGCGCTCGTCGACTCTGGATGACAGACGGGCTTTGGCGTGGGCGGTGGAAAGACGAATGAGGGTTTCGAGGGTACGAGCCGTAAGAGGCGATGTCTAGAATCTGGTCAGCACGTACCCGGACAATGTCAAGGTCGACTTACACGTTTTTGGTTGGCAGCCATGTCATCGTTACGCAGACTACTGTAGACGTTGACAATCCAGTCCGCAGCCCCCTTCGTCAACTTGGGGTGAATTCGGCTCTTGGCATACTGGATATACTTCTTCACAAAGGCGATGCTCATGACCACCTTCTTCTTGTTCGCTCCTCTTCCACTTGTGGTAGTAACACCACTATGCAGCAGTGGGTTGAACTTTTCAAAGACAGCCGTCTCTGTCGTGCGAGACTCTGTTTGGTCTCCGCCGACGTCCAGGTTCTGGTCGAGGTTTTCGATGGGGGGCACGCCTTCCTCAGAGCCGGGCTGGATGTAGCGATGCATACGGAGGACGTGCTCCGAGATCATGCGGTCTCGTTGTTCGTCAGTGTCGTCGGTGACGACAAAGAGGAGATCGAAACGGGAGAGAAGGGAGTCGGGGAGGGCGATGTTTCGGTGGGGATCTTTGTGCACATCGTACTATATGGCCGTCAGCGCTGGATTGATCACACTAGAAGCGTTACTTACTTGACCGTAGATGGGGTTGGCGGCAGCCACCACACTACATCTAGCATTCAAAGAAGTGTGGATACCAGCCTTGGCGATAGTGACCGTCTGCTGTTCCATGACTTCGTGAATAGCCACTCGATCCACTTCCGACATCTTGTCAAACTCATCGATACACACGACACCCCTATCCGCCAACACCATCGCACCAGCCTCCAACCGACGCTCTCCAGTGTCCTTGTCAGTGGTGACAGCGGCAGTAAGACCGACACCGGATGAACCTCGACCGGTGGTAGCGATAGCCAGAGGAGCAGTGTTGAGGACGAATCGCAACATCTGAGATTTGGCGGTAGAAGGATCACCGACCATCAGGACGTTGATGTCACCTCGGATATGACCACCGTTATCCAAGTTCTTCTCTTCACCTCCCAACAGTAGGAGCAAGACGGCCTGCTTGATATAATCGTGTCCATAGATGGAGGGGGCGAGAGATTGAGAGAGGAGATTGAAAATCTTTGGAGATTTGGATTGGGTATTGATGTTTCGGATGTCGGTATCAGTGAGGGGAGTTTGGGCGATACCGCCGCCTTGTTTGGAGGAAAGGAGGATGATATTATTGGCAACGATAGATGTTCTAGAAGAGGATCAGACATGCTTTTGGGTAGAGGTCGGATGTGCTTACTGGAAACCGCGCGCTCCAGCACCACCACCGGCACTCTTGTAAACACCGACAAGCTGAATTCTGTCTCCAGGCTTGCAGCAGTCCACCAGATCATCCGCCAATACCACCTCCACACTCCTAGGCAACTGACCAGCAGGCGCTCTCTCCGGCATCTCCTGAATGCCAATGTTTTGGTAATCCCTAAAGGTGGAAAGGCCGTATTCCATCAAAAGAGGATGACCATCACCATCGTCCTTGGGGATGACGGTAGTGGTGCCAGTCATGGTGGAGGAGGACTGAATGATGGTGGAGTCGTTGTAGGATCGGGCGTGGAATTTTTGGGTCTGAGGGGCGTAGTGGACTGATCGGAGCATCTTGGGTCGGACGAGGGAGCATCTAGTCACTATGCCTTCAAGACTGACCATCTTGCCGATCTGATGACTTCGAAGAGTTCTAGGATTGCAGTGTTGTTGTCCGAATGAACCAATCATCCCGGCGTAATCTACCAGTGGATGAGTGACAAGGTCAGAGCTACAGCCCGATGGCACTCACATTGCTTTCCTTCGATCTTGTGCTTGTTGGGATTGTGCACACTTTCGACAAGCTGGTTCAAGGCCGCGTCGAGGGCAGGGACAAACTGCATCGGCTGCAAGAGCAGGCCATCCGCATAGGTCCGCTCGTATGCACGGATATGGTTGAGGTCGACGATGAGCCTGACTTGCTCGTCGTCGAGCATCCGCCTTATTGATTCCTTGTAGTTGTAGCCAGGTTGCGACTGAGGGAAGTCAGATATGATTCGAACACAGGGGCACTCACCTCATCGTCCAGGAACTCGACAAACTGCCTCGTCCTGTCCTGAGTGAGTTCGTCCTGGAATACGGGGGCCTGGGATGGCTGTGCTTCGGCCATTGTGGAGGATGTGGTGGGAAGAGAGATAAATGAGCGAAACGCGTAAAGTCGCAAAAATCAGGGCATCATCGCGACGCGTCGATTGCTGACGTGGAATTAAACTCCCCTTATACGGCGGCGCCTCCACCTTCGGCTTCTCGAGCTTTCTAGGAGCTTTCTTGGGAGCTTTCCATCGTCAGAATCTTCTTCAATTCCCAACTCATCACCGCCATGTCTGACGTGAGCAGCCCTCCCCTCCCCATCGCCACCGCTGACCCCCCGCAGGCCGTTGCTCTCAAAGCCGAAGCCAACAAGGCCTTCGCCGCCAAGGACTACGCTTCTGCCGTCAAGCTCTACTCGGACGCTATCGCACTTGACCCCAGTAACCACGTCCTCTACTCCAACAGGTCCGCCAGCAAGGCCAGCCTCAAGGAGTACGACGGGGCTCTCGAGGACGCCGAGAAAACTATCGAACTCAACCCCTCCTTCTCCAAGGGCTACGCCCGAAAGGGTGCTGCCCTTCATGGTCTCCGCCGATTCCCCGACGCCGTCATGGCCTACGAGTCCGGTCTTCAGGCCGAGCCCAACAACGCCCCTTGCACCAAGGGACTCGCCGATGTCAAGCGAGCTATGGACACCGACTCTGCCTCTCCTTTCGGTCCCCAGGGAGGCGACATGGGTCTGGGCAAGATCTTCTCAGACCCTGGAATGATCGCCAAGCTCGAGGGCCACCCCAAGACCAAGGAGTACATGAAGGACTCTACATTCAGGGCCAACATGCTCAAGCTGCAGGCTACCGGTGGCGGTGACTTGTCAAGCTTGATGGCGGACCCCAGAACGTTGGGTGCGTTGGGCGTGCTGATGGGTGTTGATATTGTGAGTCTACTCGTGTGTGTCTGACAAGGTCGTGCTGACTGTATCATCAGGATGCTATGGAGCGACCTGAGGGTTCCAACGAGATGCCTCCCGGGGTCAGCACTCCTTCCGAACCCACCCCTGCTCCCAAGCCCAAACCCGCCCCCACCCCTAAGCCCAAGGAGCCCGAGCCCGAGCCTATGGAGGTCGAGGAGACTGAGGAGGACAAGCAGAAGAAGGAAGCGGAGGCCCTCAAGGCTCAGGGAAACACCTCTTACAAGGCGAGAAAGTTCGAGGAGGCTATTGAAGCATACTCCAAGGCTTGGGACCTGTACCCCAAGGATGTCACCTTCTTGACCAACTTGTCTGGTAAGGCCTGTCATTCATTGCACGACCGCATACTGATCATGTTGTAGCTGTCTACTTCGAACAAGGAGAATATGCAAAGTCTATCGAGACCTGTGAAAAGGCTGTCGAAGAGGGGCGCGACCTCCGAGCTGACTTCAAGGTCATCGCCAAGGCCTTCGGCCGTATCGGTACCTGTCACGCCAAGCAGGGCGACCTCGCCTCTGCTATCAAGTACTATCAAAAGTCCTTGACGGAGCACCGTACACCGGATATCTTAACCAAGTTGAGGGAGGCGGAAAAGGCCAAGGCGGAGGCGGACAAGCAGGCCTATATCAACCCGGAACTAGCGGAGAAGGCCAGAGAGGAAGGTAACGAGGCGTTCAAGAGGGGAGAATTCGCCGAGGCTCAAAGGTCTTACACCGAGGCTATCAAGCGATTGCCGTAAGTCATGCTCTTTGGCTATCTTGCACAAGCTGACGTTTCTTAGGACCGACCCCCGAGCCTACAACAACCGAGCCGCTTGCTACACCAAGCTTCTCGCCCTCCCCGAAGCTCTCAAAGACGCCGAATCAGCCATCTCTATCGACCCTACTTTCATCAAGGCCTATATCCGAAAGGCGCTTGTGCAAGAGACCCTCAAAGAGTACACCAAGGCTCTCGACACGCTCCAAAAAGCCACTGAGGCGGATGTTGAAAAGAAGCACACTAGGGAGCTCGAGACAAATATGGCCAAGGTGATGAGGGAGATCCAGAGCCAGAGGAGTGAGGAAACAGAGGAGCAGACGTATGAGAGGGCTATGAGGGACCCCGAGGTGGCGCAAATCATGTCGGATCCGGTCATGAGGCAGATTTTGCAGGATGCCCAGCAAAATCCGAGGGCATTGAACGACCACATGAAGAACCCTATGGTGAGTCTCACCCGTGAAAGACTGAACCTTCACTGACAACCTGTACAGATCGCTGGAAAGATCCAGAAGCTTGTCAACGCGGGCATCATCCGAACCCGTTAAAAAGCGCTTTGTTGTGCATGTGGAGAGTGTAATATGTGAAGATGGAGTAGCTGAGGCTGTTGACATAATATCATTGTCATATATGAGGATCGACCTGAATGCAAGTATTGTCTGGTCGTTGAAAGACATTGGCCACAGGAAGAGGCAGCAGATCGAGCGTGGTATTTGTACGTTGGGAAAGGGATTGTTTGTTGTTCATGCATGAGACATCGAATAGTTGCTACGAGTGGACTACAACCACTACAAGTGCATGACAAAGCAGAGGAGTGAAGGATGAAACCTCGTCACATCGTTGGCGTCATGATGTGATGGAGCTTCGGCGTGCCGCACTTGCCGTCCCGTTTCCGGCGTCGCACCACTTCTTGATGAGCGATATGCTCTTCGCGTCTTCTCGATCCCCCCTCGCGACTGCCATGTCCTTGGCTCCTTGCCTCTCTTTTCTGCCTTATCACGGACGAAATTTCATGGGCAACGTCAAATGAGTATGACGCTAGGCCTCGCATGATATGAGATCGCGCAGCGGCAGCACTAAACCAACGTCGGTCCTGAAATCTCCAACTCAAACTCTGATCGGTTGAATCAAATGGGATCTCTACTGCAATCGGCGTGACGTCTTTGGCCGCCGTTCACTCCTCGATGACACCCCTTGGCCTCATATATGAACCCCAGAGCATGGCACCGCCCTTTTTTCCCTTTTCATGCATGCCCAACTCGGACCCTGCGATATCGACTGAGAGCCAAGCATCATCAGGACGAACGATGCCCACCTTTCTGCCTTCCAACAAGCATGACCTGCACCACCTCAGAGCGCCTGTCCCGAAGAATGCTTCACCCAGAGTATTAGAAGCCAAGAACCGTGAGTACGGGCGTGAGCTGGAACAAGGTGATGCTGATGATGGAAAGATGTGGTGGCCATGATGGGAGAGTTTGTGGGGACGACATTGTTCATTTTGTTCTGCCTAGGCGGTACTCAGTGAGTCTTGAATTTATCCTCAAAGTACTTGCAACTGTACTGGGTGGACCGAAGAGGCTATGTTCATAGCGAACGTTCTTGAAAGCAGACCGAGGGGCGAGTGGAAATGATGGCTGACCTTACGAGATAGTGTAGCGCAATTGCCGGCATTGTCTATCACCTCAACCAGCGAGGGTACTATCAACACCTCCAGCTTGTACGTTGGATAACTTCAATCCCGCGGCCAGGACTACAAGCTCACCATCTTTCTCTCGGCGCACAGGTTCTACATTTCGCTGTCTTTCGGTCTTTCACTCGCGGTCAATGTGGTGAGTCTGCCTCCCTGATTTCCGGGGCCTACCCCTGACCTCTACGCAGTGGATATTCTTTAGAGTATCGGGAGGTCTCTTCAACCCCGCTGTATCTCTAGGTATGGTGCTAGGCGGAGCATTACCGCCCCTCAGAGGCCTGCTCTTGACCGTTTCACAGGTTCTGGGAGGACTGGCAGGCTCAGCCATTGCGGATGCGCTGGTGCCCGGAAAGCTCAATGCTGGATGTGCGCTGGGAGGAGGAACGTCTATCGTTCAGGGGCTTTTCATTGAGGTGTTTATGACTGCACTGTAAGCTTACAGACTTCACGTGATAAGGAGTATGCAAGCTGACGAAAGGCGCCAGCTTGATGCTCACAATCTTCTTCCTTGCGGCAGAGAAGAATAAAGCCACTCCTATGGCGCCCCTCGGTATCGGAATGGCTCTATTCGTGTGTCTTGTTTCATCATATCTGCATAGTGTAGAAGCTTACAGTCTACAGATTGCCGAGATATTCAGTGTCTACTATACTGGAGGAGCTTTGAACCCCGCACGTGCTTTCGGACCAGCCGTCGTAACCCATACATTCCCTGTATATCGTGAGCACTTTTGGATTCGCGTCATCTGACCTGCTGATTCTTTCTTGCAGACTGGATATACTGGGTTGGTCCAGGTCTTGGAGCTTTGATGGCTACGGGCTTCTACAAGCTCTTGAAGTGGCTCGAGTATGAGACGGTTCAACAGGCAGACGATGGTCAGTCTTATGAGGATGGAGAGAGACCGGATCCGGAAACCAGGGATGGAGAAGCAGCAAGAGTCGAATCCACCGATAAACCACGGGCCCAACAACCCTCAGTGAGTATAGAGTGGTGGTCTATCATCACGGCATAGCGATACTGACGACAGCGGGTTGTAGGAGGCAGTGTATGATCTTCAGAGCGCTGCTAGGATCAACACCCGACTGGAAAGGATAGAAGTGCTCCTGAGCCAAGTGCTAGAAGCTCAGGCAGCACAGGCAGCACAGGCGGCGAGGGCCATGTGAGAAGGGCCACCTTCAGTAGTTAGTAGTCATGGTCATGGTGACCACCCGTCAAGACACTCCGGCATATAGTATACGAGTACTTGTACAATATACCAGCTTTGCATCAGCCTTATGCATAAAACACAATATGTATTTCTCGACTTGTCACTGGTCAGTCAGAGCAGTGCCCTCAGCTTATCTTATCGACCATAGTGATTTCCGCCACCACCTTGGTCGAGCCATGCATCATTCCACAGCGCACGATGTAATATATACACGTGCATGTTGCCATACCTGAAGATCCAACAGAGCATGCATAGAGCGATGCAACAGCTGAAGCGCACAAAGCCCAGGCTCCGCTTTGAGATAAGCCACGTGGCGGGACCGGGATAAAAAAAATCCTGCGAGCGAGCGGCGAGGTTTGTCAGATCTCCCACAAACCTTTTCTCTCTTTCCTTTCAACTTTCCCCCTTTTCGCCACTTTCTCCCCCTCTCCTCCGCCTCTCCCATATCCCCGCCTCGCCCTCTTCCCCCTTCTCAAAAGTCCCGCTAGGGTCAACTCCCCACTCAGTACAAAAAACCCACAAAAACGGCTCGAAAATCTTCGCCGAGCCCCAAACTTGAACCAGGAATCAATCTCTAGTTGTATCTTACCATAATGACTACTGCCGCCCCCACCGCCCTTCCCGCCTCTACCCACCTCGAGGAGCTTGTCAAGCTCGCGAGCTCGGCCAACAACGTCGAGGCCAAGGCTGTCGCCGACGGCATCGCCCTTTCTCTCAAGAAGGCCCCCAAGACCCTCAACGCTATCCAGGATGCCAAGATCATTGATGTCGTCCTTGCCTGGGCTGGCTCCAAGGCTGCCTCCGAGAAGGAGGCTGCCGCCGTCCTTGTTGAGAGGATCTCTCGGTCTCTCGGTACTGGTATTGAAGGTGTCTTCTTGCCTCTTGTGCCTGCCATCCTGAACCTTTCCCAGGACAAGGTCCAGCAGATCAGGACCTCTGTCAACAGTGCTATGGTCAGTCTGATCAAGGCTGTTGCCCCTGAGGGTGTTCGAAGCGTGTTCGAGGTCTTGATCAAGGTCTTGGACGACAGCAAGCAGTGGAGAACTCAGGTCGCTACCCTCAAGGCTATGGAGGGTCTTGTCAAGGCCGGCTCCGAGGAGTATGTCGCGAACGAGCTCGGTCACGTCATCCCCGTTGTTGAGCATGCTATGCACGACACCAAATCCGAGGTAGGTCATACCGTACATCCACAATCTGCCGAGCTAATCTCTTTGTAGGTTTCCAGTGCTGCCAAGAAGGCTGCTACTACCCTCTGTGGTACCCTCCCCAACCCCGATGTCCTCAAGCACGTCGACCTTTTGGTCTCCGCCATGGCCTCCCCCGCTGCTGTCCCTTCCACTATCAAGGGTCTTTCTTCCACCACTTTCGTTGCTGAAGTCAACGCTCCCACTCTTGCCGTTTTGGTCCCTCTTTTGACCCGTGCTTTGAAGGAGCGATCCACCGACACCCAGCGAATGACCTGTGTCGTTATTGGTAACCTTGTCAAGCTTGTCCGAGACCCCACCGTCGCTGCCAGGTACCTTGGTCCCCTCTTCGGTGGTGTCAAGCAGCTCGCCACCGGCGCTGCCTTCCCCGAAATTCGAGCGTTCGCTCAGACCGCTTTGGACATTCTCATTGGCGCTGGTGCCTCTGCCGATGCTACTCCTTTGCCTCCTCGCGACGTGACCCTTGCCGTCACCGAGGCCTTGGCTGTCATGGCTCCTCACTTTGACATTGCCGAGTTCCCTGCCCACCCCTCGCTTCCCCTCTCCGCCTCCCTCCCCAATAGCCCCGTCATCGCTCACGCCATCGAGTACCAGGCCAACATCGTTGCCGACCTCGTCGACGCCCGAAAGTGGGATGCTTCCGCCTGGGAGGGTAAGGCCCTCGGTTCTTTCATGAAGCTCCTTCAGGGAGCTGAAGAAGGTGCCAAGTCTACCGCTGCCATCCGACAGGCTTTTATGGACATTGACAAGGCCAAGTTTGCCCCCGATGTGGAGGACGACGGATCTGAGGGTCAGTTGCTCTGTGACATCCAGTTCTCTTTGGCCTACGGTGGTCTCCTTTTGCTCAACCACACCAACTTGAAGTTGAGGCGTGGTAGGAGGTACGGTATCTGTGCCGGTAACGGTGCGGGTAAGTCTACTTTGATGAAGGCTATCCGAGACGGCAAGGTCGAGGGCTTCCCTCCCCAGGATCAGCTCCGAACCATCATGGTCGAGCACGCCATGCAGGGTGAAGATGCGTCCGCTGCTATCCTCGACTTCATCTGTGCCGACCCCAAGTTGACCCACAAGACCCGTGCCGAGGTTGCCGCTATGCTCTTGTCTGTTGGTTTCTCCGATGAAAAGCAACAGGACCCCGTTGCCTCTTTGTCTGGTGGTTGGAAGATGAAGCTCGAGTTGGCCAAGGCCATGCTTATTGGTGCCGATATTCTCTTGCTGTAAGTACGACGCTTCTAGAAGTGATCTTTTGCTCACTGTAGGATAGCGATGAGCCTACCAACCATTTGGATGTCCAGACCGTTGCTTGGCTCGAACAGTACATCTGCAGCCTTACCGAGGTCACCTGTATGATCGTCTCCCACGACTCTGGTTTCCTCGACAACGTCTGTACCGACATTATTCACTACGAGACCAAGAAGCTTGCCTACTACCCCGGTAACCTTTCCGCCTTTGTCGCCAAGGTTCCCGAGGCCAAGTCTTACTACACCCTTGCCGCCACTTCCATCAAGTTCTCTTTCCCTCCCCCCGGTAACCTTGTTGGTGTCCGATCCAACACTCGAGCCATCCTCAAGCTTTCCAACGCCACCTTCACATACCCCGGTGCTTCCAAGCCCTCGCTCAAGAACCTCTCTTGTTCTTTGTCCCTTTCTTCCCGAGTCGGTATCGTCGGTCCTAACGGTGCGGGTAAATCTACCCTCATCAAGCTTTTGACCGGTGAGACTGTTCCCCAAGAAGGCGCCGTCCACAAGCACCCTGCTTTGCGTGTCGGTTACGTTGCCCAGCACGCTTTCCACCACATCAACTTGCACTTGGACAAGACTGCCGTGCAGTACATCCAGTGGCGTTACCAGGATGGTCACGACCGTGAAATGATGGAGAAGGCTACCCGTGTGTTCACCGACGAGGACAAGGAGATGATGGACCGCCCCATCGAAGGCAAGAACGGCGAGTTGAGGAAGATTGAGTTCATCTTGGGTCGTCAGAAGCTCAAGAAGTCCTTCCAATACGAAGTCAAATTCAAGGGTTACGACCACAAGTACAACGCTTGGATCGGCCGTGACGTCTTGCTCGAGAAGGGTTTCCAGAAGCTCGTCACTCAGTTCGATGACTTGGAGTCTTCTCGAGAGGGTGCTGGTCAGCGTGACACTGGTGCCACTGCTGTCCGAGAGGTCTTGGAGGCTGTCGGTTTGGACGGTGACATTGCTCAGTACAACGAGATGTCTGGTCTGTCTGGTGGTCAGAAGGTCAAGGTTGTCATTGCTGCTTCTATGTTCAACAGGTGCGCACAATCTTGAATATCGTTCTGTCAATGCTCACCCATCGCAGGCCTCAATGTCTCTTCTTGGATGAGCCTACCAACTTCTTGGATCGAGAAGCCCTCGGTGGTCTCGCTGTCGCCATCAAGGAGTGGGGAGGTGCCGTCTGCATCATTTCTCACTCTACTGAATTCGTCAATGCTCTTTGTCCCGAGATCTGGAACGTCGACAACGGTGAGCTTACCCACCAGGGTAAGGTCGCCATCGTCGAGGACGCTTTCGACAACCCCTCTCAGCCCGGCTCTCGAGTCCCCAGCAAGGCTGGTACTCCCCGAACCATCCCCGGTACCCCTTTGACTGCTGCCACCTCTGGCACTGCTACCCCCGATGGTAGCGCTGCTACCAGCGCTGTTGAGGATGTCACCGACGGTCTGGCCAAGTTGATGGAGAAGAAGAAGAAGAAGAAGAAGATGACCCGAAACGAGCTCAAGGCTCAGGAGGAGAGGAGGAGGATGAGGAAGGTCAACTGGCTGGCCTATGGTGGTGCGTCCCTTTATTAAAATCGTCTGTGACACTGCTAACGTCTCTTTAGGTGAGCGTGAGCCGGACACTGATGACGAATAAGGTGTTGTAGCCTTAAGAGACATAGATGTTAGATGTGGTAGAAGGTTCCGGCTTGTGTTTGTTTTTATCTCGTGCCTTTCTCTTTTTCAAGGTTGTGTAATATACCGTACTTCATAGATTAGTGGCATCTCTTTCTATCATGAACTTTGCTAATGCGTCAATCATTCTCTGGGCAGTGACGGACGCAGAATGACCCGTTGACAAATTGAGCGCTCTTCAAATGTCGTATGGCTGGGAAACAAGGCTGCACCTGCGACAGCGACCCGGAATCCTACCTTACACGAAAAACTCGTACCCGGGCTAGTCTCGCATCGACCTTAATCGTACAGAACCCCATTGAAAACAGGTCGTGCATGCGTTGCACCAATTCACAGCAGATCCCCGCGCCACATGGGATTACATAAGCATTCTTCCCCACTCAAAATAATCCCGTCCCTCTTTCGCTGACAATATGATTCGCATCAGATTGCCCAAAGACGTCTACCTCTCACCGCCCACCATGTCAGCACCCCTCAACAACGCCGCCGCCGCCCAGACCACCTCCAAGCTCCAGGCTTTCCTCAATCACCCCGCCGGCCCCAGGTATGTCCCCCATCAGCCCATCTACCCCAGCCTTGGCCATGGTCGATAACACCCGGAGGAGACGTGCTGATGTGATGCCCATAGAACCATCTTCTTCTGGGCGCCCATCGCCAAGTGGGGTCTCGTGGCGGCCGGTCTCAAGGACCTCCAGCGTCCTGCCGAGAAGCTGAGTGTGTCGCAAAACGTGGCTTTGGCTGCTACCGGATTCATCTGGGTGGGTGTTGGATGCTTTGGCATATACACAACATCAACTGATGTGTGATTATTGTATAGGTCCGATACTCTATGGTCATCACTCCCATCAACTACTCCCTCGCCGCCGTCAACTTCTTTGTCGGCTGCAACGGTGTCGCTCAGCTCTACCGGATCTGGGACTGGAGACAGAAGCACCCCAACGCTGTTACTGCTTAGAGGGTGTAGGACGATATTGGAATGAGGGGTAGAGAGAGGCTGAGGAGGATAGGAGAGGCCTCATTTTGTTGTAGGGTAGCCATACCCAAATCCGACAATCGTCTATGAACTTACGTCGGTCATCTGAAGAGAACAACGGGCATGCTCAGGCAAGTGCAAGAGTGAAATAGGACATTCATGACTTGAGAAAGCTACAAAAATCACGCCAATACGCTACACAACTTGGACCGGAAACGTTACAGAGATAGACTCCCAAAATCGCTTTCAATCAGATCGTCCGGTATTTCTTCTAATCAAGATCTCCTTCTTTACAACACCTCCCACCTCTGCCTACCCATACTGACCAACCTGACAAACAACGCCTCCCTCCTCCCGATCCTCTTGAAGTGCACAGTCTCGCCATCTTCTTTGGGTGCCTTTGGTCCGGCGGTGAGCTCTTTGAGCTGCTGCTCGCCAGACTTGAAGCGGATGGTGAGGCCGAGGCCTTCCACATCGGCACCGGAAGCCCAGCCGAGGGCCATGCGCGCCATAGCCACATGGCTCTGCAAACAACGTCAGCACGTGGATGTGAGGCATGGGAGGAGTGGGGAACTGACCTTTTTTATCTCTACGATATCGTCGATAGGCCGGCGAAAGACGGCTTCTTTGCCGGACGTGGGGACAAAGCTGATAGTAGGCATGGCCACACCTTCCTTCTTGCTGTCAAGGATGATATGGCCAGAAGTGCCGTCGAGCTTGCAGGGATACGCTAAAAACCTCGTCAACACGGGCTTGTCCAATAGGTTATCGCGACTTACAAGAGATAGTCAAGTCGTCCGCCACATTCCCCCTGAAGAAGACCTTATCCACCTTATCCCCGATCTTGCCCAACCACATCAGCCTCTTATCCTCAATCTTGTACCTCTCCATCAACTCTTCGATACTCATGCTCACCTGTTTCCTAGCCCCGTCCACCGACACATCACCGCGGAACCCAGCCAGGTGCTTGCCAGCGCTTCTGAAGGCGTTGGTGAGGTGGGTCTTGGTTTTGTGTTTAGCTTTGACGGCGGCTTCGGTGGTGCCGCCTTCTTTTTGGGCTTCGAGAAGTTCCTGGTCGTCTTCGGCGGTGTGGGTGGCGGGGGTGGTGTCGGCGATGGCTTCTTTAGGGGAGCCAGCAAGAGGGGGAGGGCTTGTGGAATGGTTAGATGTGGAAGAGAGCACGAGGGTAAAACTTACGGAGGTCGAGGAAGGGGCGTGCCGAGAGCTTCTGTGACTCGCAACAAGTGCAAAGTCAACTGAGCATCCGTAGGTACACGCGACAAGATCGAGCTATTCCTTCATCAGCCTTCTCTTTCCCTGCCAGTGTTTCAAGACACATACTTTCGCATATCCAACTTCTCCTCCCAGTCCGGGACGAGCTCGACAAACTTCTTGACGCCCTTGATCAAGAGAGGCTGAGCCCACATACCGACACCAAAGGCGAAAGTGGCGGCGCGGCCAAAGTAGACAGCGGGGATGTAGGTCAAGAGGAGGCCGGGAGGGAGGAGGAAGGCGCCGGCCATCTTGAAACGGGCAAAGTTCTCGGGGTAGGCAGAAGGAGGTGAGAGCGCGCTGGAGGTTGATCAGCTCACTGCTAGCAAACGGTAGACTATAACCCACTTGGTGAAACGCTCGATGAGATCAGCAAAAGCGCCCAAACCATCCTCGGTCGCTTTCGTCATCTTTGACACCGTCTCATCCCTCTTCCTCTTGGCCTCTCTCGAAGCCAACTTCTTCTTCTCCTTGTCCGTCAACGGCTTCTCGGGCACAATCTTTTCTCCGCCCACGACGACGGCAGCAGAGTCGAGCCCTTGAGCAGTGTCGGACGTTCCGTCGACCTTGGTACGTTCGGGGTTGAATTCGTCTTCAGAGTCGGAATCGGAAGAGTCTTCTCGCTTTTCGCCGACTTCAGAGTTGCCGGCCTCTTTACCCTTCTTCCTACCGTCCTAATCTCGGGGTAAGTGACATACGAAGAGACAAGGCTCCACTCACCCAAAGCAACCTGGTGGTATAAGCCCTCAGAACAGACGTCGCTTCGAACGCCTGTTCCTCCGCTTGCTCATGCTTGGTCCTATGCACCGTCTTGCCATCCACATTCCCCAAAAGACTCTCGTCACCTTTCTGGTTTGTGGGGTCTGTCGCACTGGGCGGTGTGAACGGCGCAGGTGGCACAGGCGGGAATAGGTATCTCCTCGTGAACGGGAAACACACCAGCACAGATAAGAATATCGTCACGCCGAGCATCGCGTACCCAAACACCCAGGCTGTAAAGTATGCAGCGCAATAGGTACCAGTACGCCAGCGCTCTTCGGGAGACCAAGACATGAGTCTCTGGAACTCGCGCGCGCCTCGGACAGAGGAGGGTCCGACGGCGGCGATGACGCGCTCGAGGTTGGAGCGGAGCACGTCAGTGTGGGAAGGGAGGTTGGGGAGGGGCGATACACGGAGGTCGGGCTCGGCTGGGGGCAGCTTGTGGGCGGGGTGGAGGACGTGGGTGATTTGCTATACACGCTGTCAGCTGATGATGCACGTGGGGTGCGTGAAGAGATTGTATGCTTACGACGTCGAATCGCCTGAGCATGGCCCAGAGCCTGTCGTCCTCGACGCCATGGACGATGGTGCCCTGCGCGGGTTCGCCCTTGATCTCTCTCGCCTCGGCCTTGGTCTTTTCGACCTCGCGCTTGACGACCTGGGGATGCTCCTCTTTGATGGCGTGTTTCTGCTCCTCGGGGCTGGTGGCGGGGTTGGTAGGGAGGGCAGTGGGGGCTGATTCTGAGGATGGCTTGTGGGGGTCGGTGGAGGCTGTGGGGTGGGAAGCGGTGGGCTGCTCGCCGGGGGCGGTGGGGATGTCGGTGGAGGGTGCACCTGGGAAGGAGGCGGTCTGTGTCCCCTCCTGTGCTGCTACGGGGATTTCTGCCATCGTGCGTGAGGAGAATGATGGAGCAGCGAACGGTGAAAGCAAGACATGTACTTTATGCGATCGATCTCACTGACGTCATTACGACATCCTTACGTACATTACCACTCTTTTCAATCAGATGCAGAGGATAACGCAAGCAATTCCCATCTCAACTATGTACTACTTTATACTACAGCTACGAATGAAAGTTCCACTACACAACACAAGCAAGACCCTTATGAATCCCCTTCACAGTCCGTCTTCCGCTCTTGCCGCGGATAGCCCCCTTCCTATGGAGAGGCCTCATCTCAACATCATCCATCACTTCACACAACGCCCACTGCTGCGAAGGGAACGACCCCCAGGCAAAGAAAATATCCACCATCCCAACGTATCGGTTCATGTAGTGGTGCAGCATCGTCAGCTTACCCGTCGATGCCTTTGGGTGGCCAAAATCCCTGATGATGGCCTCCTCTTCCTCCTGGAGGACGTGGCGGTAGTTGAGCGCGACCTGTAAGAATACGACTGCGTGCTCGGGGAGGGTGGCAAGGAGAAGCTGTTGGTCGATCTCCAGGAGACGGAGCTCGTGCATGGTTCTGGTCATGGCTTGGGCTAGCTGTAATAGCTATCAGCAAACGTCACCAAAAAAAGAATGTAAAAAACGCACGCAGTCCATAGCCTCATAGAGATCCCGGACAGGGCACTCGCTCTCCTCAATCATCTTTCGCAGATAGTCGGTCTCTCCAGAAGTACCCTGGTACAGCGGAATAAGCTCGAGAAGGTGGGCGCGGTCAAACTTGTCCGCAAAGCCAATGTTGGTGATCCACTCGAGGAAGAAGACCATGTCAATAGTGATGGCCCAGCAGCGGCAAAGGTCATTTCGGTTCACCTATGGAAACACGTTAGTATCGTGCCCGCCACCCATGTGTGAGAAGCTTACAGCCTGACCGTTGTAGGTGAAAGTGTCAAAGAACCAAAGATCGTCTTCAGGCCCCTTGGTCCTGTAGCCGACCCTACCAAGCAAGACCTTGGGAAGAAACCTCTTGTCCGAGCTTGGCTCGGCGCAAGTGAGGGCAAGCTCTTTGAGGTACTCTGGACACAGTCTGTGGGCGGGATCAAAGACAGAAGCGACCAGCTCGCTTTGAATGGTGAGGACAGAGAGGGACATGATGGTGGTGAGTATTTTTGTGGGGTGGACTTGAAGAGAGATGGAGATGCGATTGGAGCTGGCTTTTAGTCCATTTGGCATGACTACGGTAAAACCTACGGAACAAGAGTCTAGCGGCGGGTCAAGGATGAAGAGAGAGGATCAGTTGCTAATTCCGCCCACCCTTCCGCAAAAAGTCGCGTCGGCCCTCCGAGGTCGAGCATACTCGAGGACTCGTACTCGTACTTTGCTATACATACTCTACTGGCGTTCTGATCCTATGGTATGCATGTAGCTGCAAATCATGGATGATTCAGCATCACTCGTATGTAAATAATTGTTAGAACCTTGGTACTGGTCTCCACGAGGAGGTAGGTGATTGTTCGCCGGCGCAGGCAAATCACGCATCAAGATATATCATCACAACAATACAACAAGAGAAGAGCACATCTAGCACTTTATACACGTCAAGAGACCACCTTCGCCTTCCAGGGTCAGACGACCCCGGCCGCAGCTTTCAGCTTGCGCGCATCTAGCATCTTTTCTTCCCTCAACCGCTGCGACTTTTCAACCCCAAACCCTTCCTCAAACACAAAATAAACCTCCTCCAACGACAACCCGGACGTCTCTGGATACAACGCCCAGCAAAACACCCACCCCACCACACAGAACCCCGCATACACCCCAAACGCCCCACTCGGCCCGACCCTGTTCATCAAGCTCAAAAACGTCCCTGCGATGAGGAGGTTGCAGCTCCAGTTGACGGCGGTGCAGATGGATGTGCCGATACCGCGGACTTCGAGGCGGAAGAGCTCGCCTTGTTGCCAGGGGATGTTTCCGAGGCCGGTGGCGTAGCCGGCGACGTAGAGGAGCATGGAGAGGAGGACGAGGATGGAGAAGGATTTGGGGTAGGAGGCCCCGCTTTGGAGGACGCCGCCGGTAGAGAGCGTTAGATCTGTAAAAGGTCAGTAATGCGCTTGCTTTGTCGGGAGTGACGCACGGTGGAAGAAGATGGAGGCGAGGATGAGGGCGATGATCATGACAGGCAATGTCCAGAGCATCGTCTTTCTACGGCCCAGTGGGTCCACAATCTGTACTGGTCAGTATGCCTCGCGAGCAGAAACCCAGGTGCTCGCTCACCTTGAGTGCGACAAGCGTAAAAATGAGATTGATAAACGCAATGACCAGCCCGACTGCGGTGGCATTGGTGAACCCGACCATGGTAAAGATGGTTGCCGAGTAGTACATCAGGGTGTTAAAACCGCACAACTGCTGAGCGGCTTGCAATCCACATCCGATGACTTTGACTCATCAGCCGGAACATTCAGATTCTGCTCAAAGTACTCACTAAGAGCCCGACGGTTTGTCCCAACAGTGACTAGACTCTGCAATCTCTCACCCCATGTCGAGGCATCGTTGTATTCCTTGCTCTGGTCCACAGCAGCTTTCATGATTTCCAGCTTTCTGTCGACTTGCTCAACCTTGGCGAGGGGATAGATGCGCGCAATGATGGATCTCGCCTCGGATACACGAGATCTGAGGAGAAGGATACGAGCTGTAACACTGTCAGTCAAGGTAGATGGAAGTGGGAAGAGGCACGTACGCGATTCGGGCATGAAACCGATACAAGCAAGCTGAATGAGGGAAGGCATGGCACCAAGACCTACGATCCATCTCCAGCCATTGTTGACGCTCTGAAAACCAGACCCTATAGCTAGTCATTGTCAACGATTCTCCCCTCACGCTTCAGGGCCACTCACCGTACGCTACGACTTGCCCGAGGGTGATGGCAACACAATTGATCGTCACCAACCTCCCCCTGATCAACGTAGGCGCCAGCTCTCCAATATAGAGCGGCACAATACAGCTCGCAAGGCCGACTCCGAGGCCTACAATGAAGCGCCCAGCTACCATAGCGGCGACAGTATGACAGGCTGCCTGACAGACGGACCCGCCGATGAAGGCAATGTTGGCAAATACAATCACGAGGCGGCGGCCAGTCAAGTCTGAGAGGATTCCAGCGGCAAAACCGCCTAATAGAGCGCCCAATGTTGTAGCAGAGGTGATTATTTCCTGTACACTATCAGCTAGAATCTTGATAAGAGAGCTTGGACCGACCTTTTGCCAGTCGGACAGAGCAGCGCCAAGATCCTCCTTGATGATGACCAGCATCGACGAGATCGCGGCCGTATCATACCCTATGATCATGTCTCAGTGATAGTTACATCGTGTGACCCAAGTGGTTCACCGAATAACAGCCCAGAGACAGCTGCAGCAAATACCAATATCCAAACAAACAGAGTGATGGTATCCTCGCCTTCCACCACGACCGCCCCCTCATCCACCTCTCCCAGATGCGCCCCCCCATCTGCCGCCTTGTCCAGGTCCTCTTCTAGCCCATACTCGTCCTCAATTCCTGCAGAGAGTTCGTCGACAAAGTCGTGCGACGCGGGGGTAGAAGTGCCGGAAGCCGGGTCGTGGGAGAAGGAAGTGGGGACAGGGGCGTAGATGTTTGACTGGGCGGGCTGAGTGGTCATTGTTGGGTATGGCTTTGGAGTATCGCTTCGAGGAGCGCTGGGGTACCTCTAGAGCATTTGAAGTTGTAGATGTACAGATGAGAGATGAAGATACCCTCTCCTTTGACTGACTACTGCGCCCGGCCGCCGGGGGTATCCTGAGCATCTCCGGTCCGGTCTATCCTCTTGCGGGGTAAGTGTAAGGGCGTCGCAAATTGACAGTCATCCTTTGACTGGCAGCTCGGTAACATCTCGAGCGGTGGGCTATTTCACTTTTGCAGCTACAGATGTCGTACACTATGATATATCATACAACTATGACAAACAACAACTACGTCTTGTCCAACGCTACAACACTCTCAACACCTTCCCTAGCCCTTATCAGCCTCTCATAACATTATTAGACATATGTAATAGTCGTTCCCAGCTTCCACACTCCCCCAAATTTCGCTACCCACCACTTGAGATACCACCATGCCCATTCCAACCAGCCCCTCTGCCCCGCCCGGATCTGTGCTAGACGGGTTTGGACTTGTGATCTAGAGCTCAAGGATATCGTAGATTGGGATGCTGGGGGGCGACGGCGACGGGTGCGGCGAAAGCGAAGGAAAACCACAAGGAAGAGGATGAGGGGAAGCGGCAGGGACATGAGGTATGGGGATGAGTCGCTCAGGGCGAGAAGGCGTCCTCGAATACTCTGCGGAATAGGTAAAGAGCCAATGACTCTTGTCAACACGCCCGACAAGCCAGCCACAGAGACAGGGCGTCCAGCAGGTATGGGCATGCCAGGGAGCGAGGGTTTGAACGTGCTCTCCGACAGCCCAGAAAAACCAGAGCCGTCGCTCGCCGCATCCCGCTCCCCTTCCTTCTTCAACTTGTCGAGTCTTTTACCGAGAGGGGTACCAGGTGTCAGACCACGTTGGACAGTACCAGGCCGGGCGGTAGCTTCGCTAGAACTTGAGGTGGCAGAAGATGTACTGCCTGTACGACGTCGGTTTTTGCCCTTTGCAGACCCCGGTAGCTGCAGATCGGGTGTCGGATCAGAGGATGGTAGGACGAGAGACGATGATGGGGAAGGGGCAGGAGGTGGCGAAGTTTGTTTTGTCTGCGTTTTCCGAAGGTGTTTATATAGTACCTATCAATGTCACGTTAGCACCTCTCAACCAAGGACGCGGAGCTGGATGACATACCTCCTTCCTGTTTGAACTCAGCACTCCCTCACCCTCTAAGAAAGCCTTTGCCATTTCCCACTCTCCCTCTCGGCAAAGCACCTCTCCAACAAACAGCTCGATGACTTTGGTATACCCCTCTCGAGCACCGTCGAGCCGCTTGTGTTCGAGTGCAGCAGAAGTCGAGCTGGTTTTGTGCTTCGAAGGCCGGGATGTAGGGGAGGGGGTGATGGAGTCAATGAAAGAATTTGGTAGCGCTGCTAGCCAGCTCTCACACAGCCCATGGGCAAAGTCCAAAGAGGGTTTCAAGGGCACCAACTTCAGGCAAGCCAATGTCAAAGTCGACACCAGCGGAGGCGGGAGTAACGGTACAGGTGGGGCTATAGTCCCGTAATACGAAGTCAGACATCGCTGTTGAAGGTACGAGAGTACCTCTTTGGGAGATTTGGGAGGGAGAAGGGTGACGAGGACTTGTGGGAGAGACTGGGTTTTGCGAGGTGGATCGTTGTAGAGGTTGACGGTCGAGCTGATGACCAATTTGAGAGTCTTGATCATCCACTCATCATTCGCAACCTTTTCTTCCCATTCGCCATCTTCGTCTTCATGATCAAGCTGATACCAGACCTGGCGAGGGCCCTGGCGTTTCGCTCTGAGGAGCTCGAGGAGACGGGAGAGGGATGCCTGTGTTTTGAGGTGATCGCGGCGGACGAAAGACTGGACGGCCGTGTTGTAGAGAACCTCGATAGGTATTTCCTGAGGCCGCGAAGGAGAGGGGGAGGGGGATACTCTCGGGGGCATTGCAGGGTGTCGAGGCGTTGTGGACGACTTGAGACCAATAACGAAACCCGGCAATCGGTATCCTGTATCACCGACAAAAAGTGTCGACATCACGATATCCTCTCGTTCGCTCGAAAAGCTGTAGTTCGCATCACCAAACTTGTCCAGCGTTCATCCAATTGCAAGGCATCAAGTCTAAGCGAGACAGTTTGCGACAACCGCTTCAGCACATTCCGGGTGCGATCCCGAACCGAACAAGCAAAAGTCGAAAATCTGAAAACTTCGATAATTTCAGGACGACACCGTCATGCCCCGGTCACCTACGCCCACCGGACATGGGCCAAGCCCGTCTCTCAAGCAGCTCCTCAAGTCTGCAGACATCCTCTTGAAACCCCCTAAACCCCTTCCCTCCAATCCGCCCGATCTCCTTCCCCGGCTCCGCGCGTCCTCGAAAGCCCTCCCCAAAGAATGGCGCAGAAGTGTCCCGGAATGGACAGAAGACGACGAGATGGATCATGTGGGGGACGATGGAGGAAGGGGTATCGACGAGGAAAGGAAGAAGCAGAGAAGGGATGGTCTTGTGCATGTTGTGGGTAAGAGGTGTTTCGCAATGATCAAGGCCATGCAGTTGTGGCTGGAGAAGGAAGCGTGGCCAAAAGACCAGAGAGATGGGCTCGAGGATAGGGACTGTGAGTGAATCGTCGCTTCTTCTTTGTGGTACTAATGGATGGTAGTCCTGTTGGGAACTGGAGATCTTCGACTCATTCGCCTCATGCTTTCCCATACCACCTTCTCCTACCTTCTTCCGCTGGCGACCACGTACGCCGATGCTCTGCCTAGGGTCGACGACAATGTGGCTGCAAGTCTTGCCTCTGCTCTCGAGGCCATTCTGAAACTTCTCAAGACGACTGCTCCCCCAGCACCTGCTGCGGGACCGAGCTCGAGACTTCCCATTGCCCCTACCGCCATCACTCAGAGTCTGCTCTCGTCTCATCTCATCCCAATTTTTCTCTCGACCCTCATCCTGGCATATACCCCTTCTATCCCGGCAGACCACCATGCGTCCTTGAGGCTGGCATTTCTTCAGGCGCTCATGTCCCTCACGCCGGGTCATGCGATTTCCAGCTTGGTCAATGTGTTGAAGCTGCTCGTTCAAGGACGCAAAGCAGACCAAAGCAAGGCTACCGGCTGGGTCCGCGAATGGCCAAAATACCCCGAAGGCATTATCAACGGTCTTCTGACTGCCCAAGTTCGCCGTCCTGGTGGTGTTAGAGGTCTGATGGAAAATGTCTTGGGTGACACGGCTCGAACGGACGATGTGACTTCAATTGAGGGCAAGCGCCTCGACCACATCTTCAACGTGCTCGTCCGAATCCCACGTCAAGTCACACCCGAGATATATTATCCATGGCTTCTCTCTGAGCTCTTCTCCATGATACCACTAGACGATTCGTCCTCTCATCACCCCATCGCATATGTGAATACGGCTTGTTATTGCATCCAGCGTCTTTGGCGATCCAATACGTCTATTGGCGATTGGCTGAAAAACAAACTCCATTCGCCTTGGTACCCCAAAGTTCCAGCAGCGAGCGGGACTCCAGTGGAAGTGACATCGTGGCAAGCTATCCAACGGTCTGTGCAAAACACCAGACTGCTGTTGATCCACAACCCCGCTTCTCCCGACTTTGTCGACTTTCTCGTCGGCTCTATCCTCTCGCCTCTCTTCTCTCTACACTCTTTCCTGTCTCTTTCTCCCGCACCTTCTCTCATCCGACCCGTTTCCACCCGTGCCGTCCGCCAGACTCTCCCGGACGACGTATCATTCCTCCTCACAAGCTGGGGCAAGACAGTCGACAAGGATATGGGCGTAAAGGGCCTTTGGGGGATCGTAGATGCTGGAAAGGGATGGAAAATTGGGGAAGATGGAGTGAGGCCAGACTTTTTCTGGGAGAGGGTTGGAGATGGGGTAAGGCTCATGTCTGGATCGTACGTCTTTTCATTATCTAAATTACCCTTTACTGACGTATTCACAGCCAGCAGAAGTCCCTGTCCGAGCCCGAGATCGTTCTCCCCTCTCTGTCCAACCCCTCCGATTCAAATACGCCATCAGACGACGACGTCGAACGCATGACCCAACGCCTCCTTGCAGAATCCTCTTCATCCGTTCCCGACCCTACACTCCTCTGCAAACTCATCAAAGACATAGATCGCCCTGAAGTGGCGTGTCAAGTCATTTTGAAGGCGCTGCATGTGTGGAGAATTCGAGCTTTGATGGACAACGAGCCATCCATCGAGTAAGTGACATGTGTGTTCTGGGCGAGGGCCCGCTGACTGTGGTGGTAGGGCAATGTTGCATTTGCAACTGACTATGGGGCTAATGACCCACCTTGGAGCGGATCTTTTTACCGAACCGGAACAGCTACTAGAATGGATCGAGCAAACGCTCGCTGATCAGGCGGATCGGCTCGAGCTGGAGGATCAGGAGGAGGAGGTGGAAGAAGGTGCAAAGCCGTTGATCCAAGAGGTCAAAAGTATTGAGCAAAAGAAGGGGAGGACAGAGAAAGAGGACGATGCAGCGGATGGTAATAGAGGGCTGATTGAACTTGCTTGTCAACTGCTTGCGTCGCAAGAAGGTAAGTTTGAGAACTGCGCCCTGAGCACGCACTGACAAGTTGCAGTGAAAGCAGCCGTTTCCCAGAAAAGTTTGCCCATCCTTCTCCCCATCGTCGCCCACCTCGATCTCATCTCCAAACTCTCCCCGTCATCTTCCACCCGCTCGCTCGCGCTCGAGGCCTCCCTCCTCCTGCTCTCGCACCAGACCACCATCCCTTCATCGGCCATCACCCAAAAGTCTGTCAAAGAGACTATCGACAAAGCCCTCGAGCTTGTGCAAGACTCTACTGTCCCTGTCCGGGCGCACGGGTTGAGTATGCTGAAAGATGTCGTCTTCGACCCCGCATACGATACCGTCTACACTCCTCTGATCCTCAACACCTTCATGACCCACATTGAAGACGACGACTCTTTCGTCTATCTCTCGGCGGTCAAAGGATTGAGCAGTATGGTTGATGCCCTCGGAGGGAAAGTGTTCAGCGCGCTCATGGCGGCTTACGAAGTGATGGCCAAGAGGCTGAAGAAGTTGACGGACGCGGATGATATTGACAAGATGTTGAGACTTGCGGAGGCGGTAGACCAAGTCATTGAAAAGACTGGAGATGCCCTAGGAATATATGCCGATAGGATCATCCCCATCTTGATGGCGATCTTCCCAGACACCAACCTCGCTACAGCTATCAGGTCTTCTGCCTTGTCTCTTTTGACGACGTGTGCAAAGGCGAGCTACTTCTCGCTCTTGCCCTGGGCGACAGACTTGACAAACGCAGCGATCGACTTGATTCAACTCGAGTCTGTCGCTGTATCGCCCTTCAAACCCGGCCCCCTGCACACTGCAGCCCCGGCTCCGCCTAGCTGGAAGAATCCGCTTGCGGGCGGTAGAAAGGTGCAGTTGGTAGAAGATGAGCCGGCTCTCTCTGCCGATGGCTTGTCCATGAGCGCGGGTGAAGAGGAGCAGCAGAGGAAGGTGGCGGACCCTTGGATCGAAGACGCCGAGCCTATCGCGGTTGATGACAGCAAGCATCCTCTCCTCCGACGTGCTGCCATCTCGTTTCTGAATTGGATCTTCAGCGTGGTCACGTTCAAGGTCATGTCGGATCATCATGATACTGCTGCCGACCCTATCTTCCCTTCTGCTTCCGACATATCTTTGACTCCTGTCTCGCACAACGAGATCATGTTCAAAGAGCCGCTGGACCCGACTATGGACGCCGACCTCCAGGTTGGCGCCATCTCGCACAAGCTGCTCGAACGTGCCGCCACAGTCTTAGGCTATGTCCAACATACTGATGTGGACGAGCTGTCTAGGGGGCATGCCGAGTCGGCAGAAAGGATGTTGGGGATGTTGAGAGCGGCGGTCGTTATCAGTCAAGGAGGGGATGTAGAGGGGAGCGGGTTGGAAGATCTTAGTGAGAGCTTGGAGGGGTTGAAGGTTTCTCTCTACTCGTAGGAGACAATGTACGGTTGGTAGGGGCTACATGATCGCATCATCGAGTCACACTACTTTGCCTTTTCCAGATCATCCTTGAAGTCCTGGACCGCAAGCGCGAACCCGGTCTCCGTGTCATCCGCTTCAAAGCCCATGGCCAAAAAGTCCGAATTGTCGTATTCTCCAGCCCACGTCTTGCAGATGTTGATGACCGCCTGATCTTTCTCAAACTTGATGAGATTGAACTTGTCCTTGCCTCCGTGCTCAATTCTATCAAGGTCAGTCTGGGAAGGAGAGGAGGTGGGATGACTCACAAAGCTTCGATAATCTGCCTTGGTCTGACTTTGATTCCCGGGATATTGATACTCCTCGACTCGCCCGACGCAAAATTGCTTTCAGGCATACACATTGCCCACGCAATGTTTCTCACCACCGTCTTTGTCCTCGAGCACCAGAACGGCATATCATCCAGATCCTTGTCCTCATAAGAGCTCGCGATGGGACAGATGGCTTCGAGCCCCTGGAGGGGTTCTCGAATGAGGCCCGAGATGAAAGAGGATGCCGCTGAAGAAGGGGTGCCGGGACGGATGGCTACAGTTGGCAGGCGGACCGAACGGGTATTGAGATATCCCTTCCTGCCATAGTCATACACATACAGCTCAATGATGCTCTTCTGCACACCATAGCTGCTCCCGGGGATGACGGGTGTGTCTTTCGGCACGACATAGTCTGTTGGCTTGCACTTTGGTCCGCCGTAGATGGCGAGGGAGGAGACGAAAACGTAGATGGGACGAGGGGCGGAAGATGGAAAGGAGAGGGAGTGTTTGTGGGTCGTGCGGAGGAGGTTGAGGTTGGAGTCGACGTTGACAGAGTATCCGAGGTCAAAGTTGGCTTCCGCTCCGCCAGACATGATGCCGCTGTGATCGAGTCAGTGCCGATTGAGAGTAAGCTACAAGTACTAACTGGAGAGCAAACACTCCATCGATCTTTTCGCCTTGGAACAAGCCTTCGACCTCTTTAATCTTGCCGAGGTCAGCCTTTACAGCGACAAGCCTGTTCTTGTCTGTGATACCATGGCTGGGCGGCTCGACAATGTCGGTTGTGATGACCTTCAAAGATGGGTAGAGAGAAAGCAGGAGAAGGACGAGTTGCTGCCCGACGAATCCTACAATGACTGTTCAGCGTGTGATCAGTAAGGGCGGGATGGGACCCACCTCCAGCGCCAGAGACCAAGATGGTCTTGACATGGCCAGGGAGTTTCAAGGCATCGTACGTAGGGGCGACCATTATGTCTAGGAAAGTAGGGAGATGACAAGGCTTTTGATCTACATATGTACCTCTCGTGACCGTTCATGGCAAGAGAATACTCGGGACTTCGGGCCAATCTCGACGGCTGTGGGCGGCGATAGCCCGGTCGTTCCTGATTTCTAGACGACCTTCGGCCCGAACCTTCTGCTTCTCATCAAAGATGCGTTGCGGCTTGCTTCGATTTCAAGACTTCTCTCGGAGAGCCACGGTAAGAGTCCTCCTGGGGTGCGCTGACACGAAGTATGGATGAGAAGCGCGAGGAGATGGTTCAGCTAGCGAGGCATAGAAGCTAGATGGCTAGCCTGGAGCCCGTGTAGTAGTTCTATCATGTACGAAAAACGGAGGGTCTTTCCTTGTAACGACTATCACCCATAGACGTGCGCGAATGATGCAGACCGATATGCATGACAGGAACCAAACAATGCGATGGATAGAGGCGGCGGCCACCGCTCCGCCACACATGAATCCATCGGTCTTTCAATAATCCCGGCGAAACTCTCGGCGGTGCCCGCCCGTGAAGTGACACTTTTGTGGAATGGCGTATTGAGTCTTCATCCATCAACCAAAAATGGCCGCCAACACTGTCATCTCTAAGAGGAGAAAGTTCATCGCCGACGGTGTCTTCCAGGCCGAGCTCAACGACTTCTTCACCCGAGAACTCGCGGAGGAGGGTTACGCCGGTTGTGAGGTCCGAGTGACCCACGCCCGTACCGAGATCATCATCAGGGCTACCCACACCCAGGAGGTCCTCGGTGACAAGGGTCGCCGAATCAGGGAGCTCAAGGCTCTCATCGAGAAGAGGTTTAAGTTCCCCGAGAACTCCCTCGAGCTCTACGCCGAGAAGGTCCAGTACCGAGGTCTCTCTGCCACCGCCCAGGCCGAGTCTTTGAGGTACAAGCTCCTCGGTGGTCTTGCCATGCGACGGTGCGTCTCTTTTTCTTTCGATGTGAATGTCGACTGATGTAGAACAGAGCCTGTTACGGTGTCCTCCGATTCGTCATGGAGTCTGGTGCTAAGGGTTGTGAGGTTGTCGTTTCCGGCAAGCTCCGTGCCGCCCGTGCCAAGTCTATGAAGTTCACTGAGGGCTTCATGGTTCACTCTGGTCAGCCCGCCCGTGACTTCATCGACTACGCCGTCCGACACGTTCTCCTCCGACAGGGTGTGCTTGGTATCAAGGTTAAGATGTGAGCCAAATTTTGCTCGAGGAAAAAGAATGTCTTGCTGACAAGATTGATAGCATGAAGCCTTCCGACCCCCAGGGCCGACAAGGACCCGCCAAGAACCTCCCCGACGACGTCCAGATCACCGAGTGCGCCATTTCGACTTTCCCTACTCAATCATTGCTGACGTATTCCACAGGCCCAAGTCCGAGGGCGCCATCGAGATCCGATCCGACCACAAGAACCCCCCCGTCCAGGCTATCCCCGCCCCCGCCGCTGCTGCCCCCGAGGCTCAGGAGGCTGCTGCCGCTTACTAGGATGGTTTCTTCTCTTGACTAGGTTGAGGATGCATGGAGATTAATGACAACCCCCACTTCTTGCGAGAAGGCCGTGCGGATGTGCAGTTCATGACAGGTGTTCAGGAAGGATGAGGGACGTGACTCGTGATTGTGTATACTGACAATGACATTCAGTCTGTACGTGATTTTCCTTCTCTTTTTCTTCACCACTCCCCATCCTCTACCGAAAGGCTCTATCTGCTCGTATCAGCATCTCCACCGCTGTTTGCGTTTCCTGAACGGGCCTAGATTAAACACCACATCTTTTCTTTTCTCATCAATATTATCTTCTCTGTTCTTGCTCAAACGGACAGAGGAGAGAGGAAAGGCTAGATGACATTCTTATCATCGATAATTATGTTTGTGGGATCCGACGGCAGGAGAAAGCTACCACGAAGAGGTGCAAAAGAGGTGCGAGGCTGCTATGTAATCAAGCTCGCTGTAAATGCATCATCTTTCCAATCATAATTTGTCATCTGTCACGACTACGTTCACTCGCCGAGATACATCCTTTGAGAGGATGACCCCAACATCAATGTTGCAAGATAGACATCTTTCTTCATCCGAGATCTAGCGCAAGAAAGTATAATGCTTTGTAAGATACGTAAAAGAACATGATTAAATGATTGCCGCTCGTGAACAACACGTTCTCCGGTGACCTCGACTACTGCTCGCCCCCCACATGCACTACGCTCTCGCCTGTCTGCCTCATACCAACGTCTTTCCAATCTTTGCTTCCCCTTAGTACTAGACGCAGCATCAGTCTTCTATCCTCTCAGAACCAAAACACGACTCACGACCCCCGGTACGATCTTCCACTTGACCTTCTCACAATACCTATCCCAGTCCTTCCCATACTTTTCCCTACAAGCCTCGTCATCCCTCGCCTGGCGATGGAGAAGGAGGATGACAAAGTAGATCAGGTAGTAGTATGTCAAAGGCGTAGAGAAACCGGTGGGAAGACACCAACCGAGGGCGATGAGCCAGTCGCCAAAGTAGTTGGGGTGTCGAGATCGGCCCCACCAGCCAGAAGTGATGAGCTTGGTGCCCCGCTCAGTTTGCATAAACTCCAGGTCTGGCCCAAACATCAGTACATCACGTTGACGACGAGTCCCGACTCACTTTTGGGGTTCTTGCCAGATCTGAAAGTCGCCTTCTCGTTGTTGGCGACTCTGAAGATGTACATGCCGGAGAGCTCAATGGCGACGATGGCAGCGGTAGCAAGAGGGGACAAGTAGGTGGGGTGGAAAGCGAGGAAACGGGCCTGGAGGCCGTATGTGAAGGGAACCCAGACGAGATCGCCAAAAGCGAGCATAAAACCGAAACCGTCGGTGGTGATGTCCATCTGGTTCAAGATCGTGTGCTGTTATCCATCAGCGATGCACCCGACAAGAGTAGAGTTCGTACCTCTTGGAGAAGACAGTCGAGAGTGTACCAACCCTGGAAGATGAGCACGATCCACATGCTGGCTGTCAACTGGCCGAGCCTGGTGTATTGCTCGCATGCGCAAGAGATGTTGAGAAGGAGCCAGAGGATCATACCGGGTCGGACTTCATTGAAGGTTTTGAGATCGAACGAAGGGACGCCGGGGACGGTAGGGTTGAGGGGGCGGCCGAGGAAGTACTAGACTGGTGTTTGGCCTAGTCAAGGAAGGAAGCAAAGAAGGCACTCACGTCGTAGATAACGTTGCCAGAGTTACCGCCCAAAGCCAGCAGCTCTCCAGAGAAGAAACTGTAAGCGTAAACCCATGTCGCCTGGAACGTCGCCATAGCCAGAGCGGCCGAGAGGAGGGGCACAAAGTGATCATGCAGCCAAGTGAAGGCTTGCACACCACCTGGCTGGACGAGAAGACCAGTGATAATACCAAGGGCCAGGAGAAGGGTGTAGAGACCTGTTCAATCGTGAGCGATGTCGGGAAGGAATCGACAAAGAGCTCACCGTTCATTCGATAGGTCTTGCACGTACCATCTCTCAGAAGGTTTCCCTGTACGCGCTCTCCAGGAAGAGCAACCTCGCATATCACACAGAACGCGTACCACCCAAGATAGACAGCAGCGGCCTTCCACTCCCACCACTGTCCAGCGCTACTCGGGAACCCATCAATCGCCAAATTCCATGCCTCCTTGAACCCTCCTAGACTCGTGGGCGTGCATCCTACGGCGTCATTGCAGGCAAAGAAGAAAATGTAGGAAAAGATGGGGCAGAGGAGGGTGATTGCTGTCGTGCCGATGGGACCAAAGAATTCAGTGGGCTTGGACTTGGGGTTGAGCTCGGCGTATGTTTTCGGGACGGGGTGAGCAGGGAGGTCGAGGCTAGTGGTGGCAGTGATGATTGTTGTGGTGTTGCCCTCGCGAGAGGCGGCGTCGGAGGCCATGTTGGTGGTGGAGAAGAAACGAAAAAAAGAAGAAGAGAGATGGAGCGACGCGTCGGGAAAAGAGTTTGTGATGACGACGAGGTGGGACGATACCGGCAAAGCATGGGACGACGTCGAGAGTCCCGGTGGTGGGCTCGGCGGTCTTCACGCCAGCTTTGGTCATATAGGAGCATGCATGACGATGAGATATATGCATACAATGTATAGGCCCCTATGCTTTCATTGCCCCTTCTCCCCTGCCAACATTTCGCCAACCCAGACGCCCAGCTTCTTCTCCATCACCAGCAGGATTTTGCTAGCATACGGGTCTATGGATGATCCGCTTTGTTGGGTGAGGGAAGGAGGCAGGGAGAGGGAGAGGTGGACTTGATGGGCGGGGAACTTTTTGGCTGCGGGCAAAGAGTCAGCCCGAGTTCTTGTATGCATACCCCTCTTGACTCGCACGCCCAAGCAAGGAGTGCAGAGAGACCTCACTCACCAAGACGCTGAGACATTGGCAGAGCAATATCGGTGGACCCGCTCCTGAACAGCGGTGTCGCCGTCACCGGTATATTCTGCTCGGTGTATCAACTCTTCATGTCTCCATAACCGCGATTGTAAGGTGAGCACTCACTCCTCTGGCAGGCATAGCGACAGCCCAGTCCCCAGCCAGCCGCCTTTCCACTCCTTCTCCTTCCAGTCTCTTTTCTGCTCCCTGTGCTTCGCCTTCCACCTCTCCGGCACCGCTCTCTTCTAAACCGATCCCACCCGGCAAAGAGCCAGGACCTTCAGAATCGGACGCGGGTCCTGATCCAGCCCAAATGAATAATGTAGAGGTGAGGAGGGTGAGGTGAAAGTTGAATGAGGGGGCAGAGGGGAAGGGTGAGGGGAGGTGCGTTGTATGCGTTGTAGGGGCGGAGTGGGACATGCTTGTGGATTTTCGGTGGACGGGTGTAGCAGTAGGCGGTAATTGATTGAGTTGTTGGACTTGGCGGGCCTGTGTCGGTGTCGGAAGAGCTGGTTTGCGAAGAAGTGAGTTGAAAGTGACAATTGAAAGAGGACATGCGCCGCGCGTCTTCTCCCTCGTCTTTCAACCCGTCGGCGATCTCATGTGGCACTTGCCTGCACTTAGAAGCTTGCTTTCAAATCGTATATAGCATCATGGAGAGAATATCTGGGGGCGCATACTTCGTGAATTAGCTCTTTTGTTCATATTCTTGACTTATTACAGTCACGCCGACTTCAACCAAACCTCCACCTCCATCAACCCTATCCCAACTGCCTCTCTCCATCTCCCAGTCTCTAGTTTATCTACCCCTTCCATATCCATTAGAGCTTTCCTCCTTTTCTCATCCTCTGTCTGACTCTCATCTCCACCTGTTGGCGCCTCTCCTGGCTGAGCTGGGCGACGAATGATGGCAGAGTCTTGGGGACTAACAGGCGGGCGGGCGGGAGATTGAGGATAGGTTCGAGAGTGGATTGCTGACTATTGTTCTCAGCTCTTTCCTCAATGGTTCATATGAGACCAAACATACTTTGATTCTCCCCCAATTGCCCAGAGCGACCTTGACCCCTTCTTGTTGTCCGATTTCAACGCTCCTCTTGAGCAATTCTCCAGGTGCAGACACCTCATCAACTAGCCCCAGCTTCAAAAGATCGTTTTGGACCCAGCGCTTCCCTGCCACAGTATCTCGCAGGTCACGGCGACTAGGGAACGCAGTGGAGAGGACTGAAACGAAAGAGCTGGGGAGGGTGGTGCCGAGTGTGATCTTGATTCTCGTCAGTATTCTTCACCATGTAAGGCCCAGCGTGGACGGCTAATAAGCAAAACGCACTTCATTCATGCTTAAAAAGCCTTTCCCGGACGTCATGATGCGGTGGTCGCACGCCAGAGCAAGTATCATCCCCGCGGCAATAGCTACCACTAACGTCAGCCGAGGGCAATTGAAATGAACGTGGCTGTGAAGCAACATACCATGTCCGTTGATAGCAGCTACTGTGTATAGCGGGAAGGTCATCAGCCTCCATAGGACCGGATCGAACACCTCTACCGGCCCATCACGTCAGCAAACTCCTTTTGGGAAGATGAAAGACGCCGTTGCTTACTGGGAAAGAACGAGTCAGGGTCGCCGCCCTGCTTGGCGAGTTGGAAAAGAGCAAGATGGTCGATACCCGCGCTGAAAGATCTACCTTCTCCGGTGAGCACCAAAGCTCCAGCTCCAGCTCCCTTGATGTTTGCCTTCTTTGCGTTGTCCTCTTTCTTGAGCTGGGTCGAGGACGCGGATGACGTGGGAGAACGAGCCAGCCACTCATACTCAACAACATTCAACGCCTCGCTGAGATCTTGCAGAGCAGAAGCTGAGAGAAGGTTGTTGGGTGGCGAAGAAAGGGTGAGAAGCCATGTGTTTGGCGACGGGCGGGTGAGGGATATGTGGGGCATCCGGTAGGGTCTTTATGATGAGTGTGTTGGGTCTTGAGTTTGTGGCTTCTGCAGCTTCCGTGGTGGCTTGAGAAGGATGGGGATTCGGTGGCAGGTGATAAAGAATCTGTCTCAGTCCTTCTTATATAATCCAATCTCATCGTCTCTTTCCCACTGCGGCGGCTGGGTACCGATTCTGCATCACATCAACGTGATCTCTGATCTCTGATTCAAGGCCTCGAGATTGTCTTACTTCTCTATAGACCTCGCACCTTCCCGACCCCTCCCCTGCGCCCTAGAAGGCACGATGACATGCACCATGGGACATGTGGCATGACCCTCGTTCGCTTGAACCTAGGATTAGGACCGGCCTACTGCTTGGTGGCGGCGTAGAAGGGGTCAGAGGGGTACTACCCGCCAGCCTCGAGGTTCTGGACAAGCGTTTTGGAGCCTGCGTATGCACGTATGCGGGGTTTCGTGCGGCTAGTGATCATCAGCATATGTCATAGAGGCTGGGCGTATTGTGAGTCATGAGGATAGTCGCCATATGGAAATTGCTCACTAGGGAGGGACACGAAAAAGGTGGGGTTCGTTAGTCAGCTTTAAAGCTCGGCCAGGGTGATGAATATCTATCCTGGCGCATGGTGCAACCCATGGCGTACCCTCCCACCTCCCCACTCGTAGTTCAACAAAGTACAATGTATGTGGTAGGCAGGAAGAAGTGTGATCAGCGAGAGAGAGAAGGCAAGGCCTACCGAGACATCCGACGACCTCGCGCCGGACACGTGTTGATCAAAGATGCACACAAACCCACTCGAGGGCCGGGAAGTTGTAAATCATGCTCGGGATGTGTGTCGAAATGTTGTCGGCCTTCTGTCCGGGGCTCGCCTTACCATGTGCTGTCTGTCTGTTGATATAAAAGGAAGACTAAAGGCAGACTCTTGAGATCTATAGAACGATCAGAGATCGGTCTCAACCAGAATCGAAAGGAGGAGTATTTCTAGTCCAGTCGTTGATGTATCAAGAATGATGACTACTCAACCTTGTACCTTGTACTATTTCTTTGTCCTCTCTCATACTTTTCACCATGGACACCCCACTCCAAGTCTCAAAGCTCGAGACGGAAGCGAAACTCAAGGAGCCGACATGGCAACGTGATGTCCGCGGACGAGAACGTTTGACAAGAACGGGGCGAATATCTGTGTCGTTGGGTTCCGCCGGAGATGGGGCAGACTGATGATGTTGATCCAGTATGACTGGCGCCTACTATAACCCTGACTCTCGAGGCTGACCCCAAGAAGGAAGGGATGATTATGTGTTCAAGACCGACGGATCAGAAGAAGAAACTATGAGAGGCGAAGTAATCCGTCCTTGCTGTCTTGGTTATTATCGACGCACACCTCCCGTGCGGTATACCGCTGGGATCTCCTTCATATAGGTCAGTCGGTAAAGCTTAGCACTCCCAGAGCAAAAGATCTTTGAATATATGAGCATGATTCCTCGCCGCGCAGCAGTCATCAGAGAGTCAATAGAGAAGCTGATGGTGATTTATAATGGATCGACTTGGGCCCTTTGAGAACAATTATCAGACGAATGGTAGAATTGAAGCAATCGTAGCTATGATGATATGGCTACAGCATGATCATATGCTACTTCTCCACTCAAAGACTCAGATGTCGAAGTGCAGCTGTGCCCTGCAGGGTAGCCTTCTTCATATGCCGCACCCCATCATTAGCGACAGAAGCTTGCTCAGTGATCAAGTTCCAACCCTCGAGTATTATCCACAGGCATCAAGGGGACTTACAGCAGACGTTCCAATCTGATGATGGTGTTTCAGTCATCAGCATAGCGCCATTGCATGCTTTCTCACGTTCTGTTTCGACTGTTAGTCACTCCACAGCCCTAGAAGATCATGCTAGGCGTCCCCTGTGCCATCCAGTTGGAACCGAAATCAGACATTGGGAAGTGGGCATGAACGTGCAAGTGATAAAGAGATGCCGAACTGTTGAGAAGATGGGGAAAGGAAAAGGCCGTGAGCAATACTCAGCAGTCTTGATGATTGGATTGATCAGCTAGTCGTGTGAATATCGTAGATGTATAGTCTTCATGTAAAGCCAATAATCTGGATGCCACAGGGTGAATGTCAATGAGTAAGAACAAGTTGGTGAGAAGCGATATCGGCTTCGCGCGCACTCAAAGAACCCGCGCGTCGCTTTCCGCCGAGAGCGGCATCTTGTTCTCTCTTACCACCAGCAACCTACAAAATGGCAGACATAACCCCGCCACCATCGCAGAACAACACCCCCCAACGTACCTTCCCAGCCCCATCTCATCCCCAAGGTTCTCAAAAGTCCCATGCTTCCGGCTTGGGCGCGGACGAGGTGACTGTTCCCCCGCCTGCTTCGGCGCTCTCGCCCCCTGGCGCTAGTGCAAGGGCAGAGATACCAGAAGACACCTCATATACTGCTGCTCCGTCCGGTCCTGTGCCAGCGGGAGACAGTATGGATTTGGACAATATCCCGTCGCCGGGTTCCGGCGACTATGACGAGCTGCTGGAGAGTGATCCCGAGGCTTTGATGGAGGAGCCCGAGGCAGCCTGGGATGGAGAAGGGGAAGGAGAGATTGAAGTGGATCCTCAGGAGATAGATTCTGATAGCGAATCGGAGGAAGAGAAGGGCAAGGGGAAAGGAAAGGCAAGGGCCACTGCTGTGAGTTCGCCCCGAAATGCGAGGTGGTGGATGTGCTGACGAGGTGTAGACCAAGAAACGTACCAAGCGCGCCACCCGTAGACTGCCTCAGCAACACCAGCCTTCATATCCCAGCCGTACGCGACCAGACTTGAAATACGAGAGCGGGAAAGGGGGTGGAGGCAGGAAGGATGAGCAGTACGAGTTTGAGATCGTGCAGAGGTGGAACACTCGTGAGTCTTGACTATGGATGATAGAAGAGGTAGCTGACGGGGGTGCTGCAGAATTTGGGGATGTTTTGGGTCCTGCGCCGAAAAGAGACATCCCTCCTGCGCTTGCCAACGGCCCCGAGCCTGAGTCAGAGGTCACCCCTTCCGCCCCTTCCGCCCCTTCCGCCCCTTCCGCCCCTGCCAAACCTATCCAGCCCGCCGAGCTCACTCAGCCCAATATTGAACCCGCTGAGCCGACTGAGCCCACCGAGGGTGAACAAATTACCGCCGAACCCAGCGCTCCCGAGACCGCCCCATCTGCCTAAACACCACCGCCTAGAGGCTTTGTATACTAGCATGAGAGAAGGATAGTCATGAAGATATGCCATGCAATGGTTTGTACTATACAACAATGTGAAATTCTTATACTTCTATGATCTATGCTCGTCCCGTCAAGCTTGACCACCAGCTCTTGTCCTCTACGATACTGGTCTCTTTGTTACTCTCGGGTGAGAGTTCCGTGCCCGGCGACGTCTCTTCCACAGCTAGTAACGCACTCTCCTGCTCGTTCGCTTTCGCCAGAGATGATATCCGTTCCTCCTCCATGCGTAAACGCCCGATACGGTGCTGAGCCACTTGCATGGACGACGTCAAGGCGCCGAGGACACAGCCCAGGACGAGGGAACGGATGAAGAGCGGTTTTGGAAGTTTGGCTACGTCTCCGTCAGCCTGGTCTAGTGATACAAGCAGAAGAGGACTTACATCCCAACCCGACAGCCAACCCCATCAACCCTCCAGCCCCAGCCCCATCTTCCCATTCGACCTCGCCCTTTCTCCATCCTATTCTCCTGCCCTCTACGATCTCCCTCTGTATTTGTTCTCTCTCTTCTTGCCCTCCTTCACCGATCTTGACGCCAAAGATTTGTTCACGCGCCCATCCAAGTGACTCGTCGAGAAGGACATAGGTCAGAGTAGACCCGCCGAGAGCGGCACCATAGTAGCCTCCAGACTTGAGAGCGCCTTGGATGACGCGGTAGTTTCGGGTCTTTGTGTAGAAGTACTACATCCCATTCCATTAGCTACACTAGTTTACCCGCAGCTTGAACAAGACGTACCCATCCCCCAACGGTCTTTGGCATCCGATGCGCATTCTCCGCCAAGAATCTCAGTCGCGCTTGCGACCCGCCCCGAACGAATCCTATAGAGAGACCAAATGACAGGGCGACAGATGGAAGGACAAGGAGGGGGCGGGGGATGTGCAGAAAGATGGCCTCGTCAGATGCGGTGGAGGGTGTAGGTGTCTCGTCGAGGGGTGCGGATGGGGATTCGGCAATGTCGGAGAGGGACATTGTGGGCCAATCTTCTGGGGCGTAGATTTGCGATAGACGGTAGGCGATGCAAGGGCGGGAGGTGGGGTATATTGAAGTGTTTCAGCCACAATTGTTGTTGTTTTGGGAGAGATGAAAGAGGACAATGGCGCAGCGAATAGACCGCTGGAAATTTCAGAGCCCTGGCCTCCACTTTCCATGTCCACCCACCCCGAGGGGCCGCTGCCGACAGTATACAGGGTGCTATACATATGGGTTCACAGGGTACAATATATATGGGAGGACATGGACGGCTACGATTAGAAAATGGGGAGCTTGGAACATACAGCGCCCAAGAAATCTCCATAAGTGTCCACTCCGTGCCAACACCAGCCTACCAGGCCCTGGATCTTCATTAGCAAGTGGTCATCACTCCCGCAGGCCATGGGACTCACCATCCCGACCGCAAACCACAAGGCCCAGAATCCCGAAAGGACGATCCACGAGAGCATGCCGAGCCCCTCCTTCATCGCGTTGCCCTTGACGGCGTCTTCGCCGTAGTGCCACATGACTCGATTGAGATCGGAGAGGTGATTGGCATTGTGCTTTCGACGAGAAAGGATGTAGCAGGTGGAAAGAAGTGAGTAGGGGAGTGCAATGCTACGAAAGTGAGCTGATATTATAGGAGTGGGTATAAAACATAACGCACCAGAGACGGGTTGTACGAGAGCTTTTGCCCTGCGAGACGAGAATCCACACCAGCACGAAACCGGCCACCGCCACTGCATCCATGGCCACTAGTCTGTGTCAGCTACTTGCTGAGTACAGGAGCACAAACTTACCAGCAGCTATACAGACCCCTACATTCATTGCCTCCACCCTCTCCACGACATCTTCGATGTCCTCTTTCTGATTGTACACCGTGTGGCCGGGCTCTTCCTCTCGCACCGGGTCGATGGAGAGGTGGCGCTTGTGGCCCGGGTGGGTCCGGTGGCGGAGAGGATGTTGATCGTTGTCTGTGGAGCTGGGGAAAGAAGGTGGGGCATCTTTGGAACGTGCGGCGAAAGGCGAGTACCGGGGAAAGTTGGGGGAGGTGGGGGAGGGTGGGTCAGGCTTTACGGCGTGGAAAGTAGGTAGGATGTGGCTGTTGTAGGGGTTGGTGTTCTGCATTGCGTGGATGGGAGAGATTTGGGGTCTGCGAGAATGAAATTCACGGTATGACTAATAGATGCAGAAGAAGAAGAGATAGATGCAAAAGAAAAGAATTAGATGCTAAGTAGGATCGCACCGCATGGGGGCCCCTGCCGCCGGGAGCCGGTGTCATCCAACATGCCTTTCACGCGCAATAAGTCTTATTGGGCTGAGGCTCTCTGAACCTCACATGCAAAGGGTATGATAATATAGCCTGGAATCTTGGATCACATATGTCAAAGCTGAAATATGCATGCATGTGAGCATGCAACCTTCAGATTAGCAGGCAAACCGTCATCTTGTTCGGCCTTCGGCTAGATGTCCGTTTCGTCTGCGATAGAGCAGCATACCTCCCTGTATAGCAGAGAGCATTAACTATCATACTTGGGGGGTCCTTGAGACAACTTCTGAGGACAGTAGTTAGTAAGCCATGATTTGCGATGCCCATGTCTTCCGTTCATGTTGTAGCCTATCTTTCGCCAAGACAGAACGTGCCACCATTGTTAGAAGTGAGATGACGTTCATGTAGCATACAGGGAATAAATTCATTCAAGGTTTGTTTGATTTAGATTCTTCCTAGAACCGGTACATATGTCACTGAAAGAACAAGGCCAGAGTTGACGTGATCATGGTACTCGAGTACAGTAGGAGGTAATGAGCATGCTGAACTCGATCTTTCTGCGAGACACAAAGTGCTTACTGCTACTACTACCACTATCAACAATATGAGTGCAGTGCAAGCATGCTCACTTCCATGCTGGAACCCAACAGTAGCTCTGCTCGGTCAACCTCTCGGCCGCCACAAAGCAAATTTGATCCCGTCCACAACAACCCGACGCGTGCAACCGACATTCGCGATGGTGCATCTCTACCCATCCCTATCCAGTCCGTCAACAGACTTCCATCGGCCTTGCAATAAAAAGGCATGCGGCTCAACTTTTCGGTCCATAGGTCCGCCATCTTCAATTCCTTCCTGGGCTTACTGGATATCAAGCTTGGTGCGTGCGGCGCGGTGGTCGTAATGTAGTATCGGACTGACCAGCTGTTGTTGTAGGAGCTGAAATTGTCCTGCTATTCGGAGTGCGTGATAATCTCACATACACTCATTATTGGAGACTGACGGCTGCTTGTAGCTGATCAACAAAGTCGCTGGTCTCTATGGTTTGATAACCATCATTGTCGGAGGAACATTCCCTCAATTACTGTACTATGCGTACTCTACGGGTACGCTATTCGCCTTCTTGTGGGGATTGAAAGTAGTCAAGTCGGTGAGTATCATTTGTGGCAAAGAGAACTGAACTGATAGCCTTGCAGGAAAAATCAGCGCCGGCGCTGCTCCTCTCGCATCTCTATGCCCTCGACCATGCCATCTCCACAGTCTTCCACTACGTCTTCTTCTACAAATACTGGTACAACACCCCACATGATGGAAGGAGGACGATCAACTCCCAAGCACAGCAGGATCTGATCAATCTGGCTCTCAGCCGAGGCGAAATCACAGAGCCAGCTGGTGGAGATAGTAACAGGCTTGATGAGCTTCGAGCGGCTCTTGCAGAGGATATCTGGGCGCAGGAGAAAGGGTTCGCTGTTTGGACTTTGGTTGCTGGATGGGCTTTGAAGGTGAGTCATATGGAAACCCATGATGGTCCCAAGGCTCATGTTATTGCAGATCTACTTTATCCTCATCCTCTATTCCTACGCCGCCCACCTTGCCTCATCGACGTACCACACTCTCCCCCTGACCGCCCGAGGGAAAGCCACCCAAATCGCCCACCCTGATCCTTCTAACTCCTCAGACCGCACGGACCCTCATACCGGTGGTCGCGCGGCGGCTGAGAATGATGATGACGAAGAACTGAGGAGGGCACAACATGCTACTGAAGAAGCTGGATCTGCCCCCGCGCAAACCCAGGGGAAGAGTGAAGGAAAGGGGAAGGGAAAGGGAAAAGCTGGAGGAGATGAGGATGATTTCTCTTGGGACTAATCTGAATGTATAGAGTTGACTTGGGTTCGCGCGAATGACCGCTGAATGCTACAGACGTGGCTTATCGACTGTTGCCTGGTGGTGCTTATCCCGTGCTCCGCACGCCCGATTATCATTGATGACTTTCTGGGTAGCTGACATCTCCAATTATAAACCTCAAAACTTGGGCCGCGTCTTTCGCAGGCGAAGCAACACGAAGATGACATGGCACCTTGAGCTCCGATTGGTCTGTAAGATTGCCAATGGACATCTGGACACGTTCACGCCGTGATCTAGAACGTATACAGAATGACCAAGCATGCCGTACCAGCTCCTAACAATGTAGATAGCCATGATCTTGAGCGAGCCAGTCTATGAGCACGATGCATTGGATATTCCCGTTCAGCCTGACTTGCGATGTGAATCCCAAAGCTACCCCTGCTGAAGTCATCGCTACGACAATTCCCGTCGCAGCCTCGTTCCGGAAAGATTCACCGCCAGTCGATTTATTTTGTAGACTCGGGGCGCCTGTGGTGTAGAGACTGACAACGGAGGGCAGAACGGCATGGCTATCATCCGAGGTGGTGGTCGAGGGTATGAATCGTGCGAACTCTAGGTGTGAAGTGGACGATGGCGAGGGTGAAGATGCCGGAGAGGAGGGTGAGAGTGAGATGGATGAAAATGGAGAAGATGATATCATGGTTGAGGGCGGTGAGTCCGAGGAGCTCTCCGCTTCGACCCACACAGATGTTGATATAAGCGACATTATCGCTCTATGCTGGTTTAGTGAGAGATCTGTGGCAGTACTTGGAGCAGCGCTATCTTAGCTCATAGCTCACGCACTATTAATGAGGCGACTGTCTCTTTTGTCTTCTCCCATGCGGTACAAATTCCTTTCAGTGATCCATGAATGAGTTGCTGGCAGAAAGGATGATGATTGTCAATGATTGAGTAAGTCTCTTCCTTTCAGACATCGGCTACGAGGGAGCTCTGCTTGGTTGAGTGGAGATGGGGCTGAGACCGTGATACGAAGTCCAGTCATCATATCGTTGGCCCTCAGATTAGTGCAAGTGAACTAAATCCCCAGGGAATGGATCAACTTGAGCAGTGCAACAACACTGAGTGGATAAGCTGCATGGACGAACGAATTACTATAACCTTCTCCTTTGTCATCAAACTCATCGCCATGCCAGATGTCGTATGTTTGTTTATTGTTGAGGAGGGACTTGCAAGAGCATGTTTCCGTTGGCCGCAGGAACGTAGCTGACGTTCTTGTTCTGCGAAAGGGTGTTCGCTGAGATGCAAAAGTCAGCATTGACTCTCGCCGACTTTCGATGCAAGAAGGGACCTACCAATCTCCCTACTAGTCTCAATCTTCTTAAACTGCACAAAGGCGTCACCAGCCTTGTTCAAAGCCTTGCTAATAGTGTTGGCCGCCTCGGCTTCACCTTCAGCCCTGATGACCGCCGCTTGCCTCTCCTGCTCGGCCTTTTCAACGACAAACTTGGCTCGCTCGGCGTCTTGCTGGGCAATCTGCTTTTGCTCGACAGCGGATGTGAATTCTTTACCGAAAGTCATGTGGGTCTGCGAATACAGTCAGCGAGTGCAGAGGATACGTGGGGTGTGAAGGGGCGTACGATGGAAACGTCTTCGAGTTGGATGTTGAACTCCTTGGCTCGGTTGAGGAGGTCGTCTCGGATTCGGGCAGAGACGATCTCTCGATTTGTGATGAGCTCAGAAGCTAATCCAAATAAGCTTGGCTCTCTGTCGCTGGATAAATGGGAACTCACCATCAAATTGGGCGACAGTAGCCTTCAACACTTCGTTACCGATTGACGGCAGAACCCTCTCATCGTAGCTATACCATCAGTCAGCTCCTCTTCTCCTCGTCGGGGGTACGAGACACGTACTCGAGACCCAAAGACTGGTAGATCTTGGGGAGCTCATTGAGGTCCGGCCTTGACATGACACGTAGAGTCAAAGAGACCATCTGCATATCTACGCCCCATTGTCAGCTTCTTTCTCTCGAAATCCAAAAGGGGAATGCCGTACCCTTAGAGCCGGTGGTTGTTGAGATGTTTCTGGGCTTGATTCGCACATCGTAGAGGATGGCACGCTGGAGCCATGGAATCAAGAAGTGCGTTCCTTCGCCAGTAGCCTGCGAGAATGATCGTCAGCTTCTTCGATGAATCTGCAAGTCGACAACGCACCTGGCCTTTAACACCCGAGAATCGGTCAAACAAGACAGCCCGGTAACCACCTGGAACATCGTAGATAGAAGACTGGACTACAGTGGCGCCGATGGCGATAGGAACTATTGGATGTACAGCGTTAGCAGACGGACCGGCAGAAGGGATGGGATGCGGCGGAGATCGGGCGGCGGGAGACAAGCGTCTTTCTCGTCAACTGGCAGCGAAGCTAGGGACACATACCAATCAGCCTGGAGAGGTTCTGGGCAAAGGCCATGGCGGTGATAGGAGATGGGGGTGGGAGGATTGGGGGATAGACGAGGAGGGATGCAGTAGTTAATGGCCGACCACCGACGACGAGAAAGCGGCCGGCACAAATCAGCGGGCGGGCGGCGTGCCCCGCCGGACAGACAGCATGCGCAACCCATAGTCATTCTTTGGTTCCGTTCTGCCACACGGCGTTCGTGAACGCAGCAGTGCTCTGCCGACAGTCAACGTATACTGGCAGGGGAGACTGGTAGCGAGCAACCCTCATGATCCAGAATATCGAGTCACAATGTCAGCCTCAAAAGACTTTGAATGACTCAACAACGAGCCTTACTTCTCGAGCTTCTCACATTGCAGTGGACACTTGCATAGAGCGATCCGCCTGTAAAGATGTCTCTTATGATAGACTTGAACCTTTTGAGGTCATTGAGTCAGACCAGTCTCTGGCGATGATAGGCAAACAACGAGCATCTACAACAGCACCAGTATGTTGCGAGAGAGAGCAGTAACTGGCCATTGTACAACCAGAGCCAACGGGGCACTGTTTAACAGATTGATGAGATGATACGAGGCGGAGAAAGATAGCCAAGAAGGTAGAGATGCCAACGGGCAATGTACCACATCTCTGACCCATCCTTCCCCGATCTCCTATGCGGAGGGCCGAGGGGCTCTTTGAGGGGCGGTGAGTACCGCCTGCGCTAAAGTCGAGATCTCTTTCACCGTCTGTTCACCGTGCGCATCTCTCAGCGACCAGGATACGAAAGCTGCCAGGAGGACCCCGACATTCCAGCGCAAACCCCTCGACCCCTGCCCTGTGCATACCCGCCCAAACATCACCAAAAGCTCAGTCTAGATCGCGTCGCCCATAGCGCCTTTGGGAGGCCTCCATCCGTCGTTCGCAGCGGAGCGATGTCGATGAAGCCTTGAGAAAAATCAATCGCCAACCTCTTTCAATATACTGCCATGATTATACCCATCGCCCCTCGGCGACCTCATCTCCTCGGCGGTGTCCTCCTCGCCCTCGCCTTCCTCCTCATCCTCCACCAAACATACACCCCACATGGCGTTCTCTCTTCCTCTTTCCCTCGCACAAAGCAACACCCGCATACCCTAACACATGGTCTAGAGAAAGGCAACAATGAAATACTGCAGAGGCTTTCGCATATGCGGGGTGTATGCGAGAGCGAAGATCCGTTCGATAGAGAGTATGGACGGGCGAATCTGCGGTTATCGAGGGCGTATGAAGGGTCGCACGAGCGGATGAGGCTCTTTCTCCAAAAGCTCCTGAGAGGGGAGCATGTGACGATCTCGGCGATTGGAGGGAGTATCACCAAGGGGCATCAGGTGGATAAGAGCGAGATTTGGTTCCACAAGTTCTGGGAGTGGTTGCGTGACTTTGCAGGTGACAATGTCGAGATTGTGGAGATCAACGGTGCTGCCCCGGGTATGTAGCAAAAGCTAGCTGAAGGCGCAACTGACTCCTCACAGCGACCGGCTCCGACTACTTCTCCTTCTGCTTCCCCCTCCACATACCCTCCGACTCTGACCTCGTCATCGTCGAGCTCGCCGTCAACGACGAAGGTATCCTCGAGCACATCGAGAACATGGAGAACCTCATCCGTGGCTTGCTCGACCTCCCCAATAACCCTGCGGTCATGCTGGTGGAGGCTCTGGCGTTCAGTGGTGGAGGTATGGGCGGTGGAGGAGGGAGGATGCACTTGCCAGTGGCGCAGTACTATGATGTACCGGTGATCAACCATCGGCACCCGCTAGTCAGCCATTTCGCCAGACATCCTCAGCTCGTGGAACCATACTTCACCAAAGAGTCAGTCCCAACCCTACTGTGTGTATCCCTTGGCAAAAGAAAGCTCACAATGAGGTAGCTGGTGGCAGAACCCTGATAAGCGGCATATCAACCCCCGAGGCCATCGCGACCTCGGAATGCTCGTGGCTAGTTTTGTAAAAGATGTCGCTTGCGAGATGTTTGCCGAACCGACCTTTTCCGTCCAACCCGCACCCTCATTCCCGCTCCTCCTCTCGCAAGCTATCGCCCAGCCTCCCCAGACGTCCGACCCTGCCGAAGGCCTTGCGGAGGACGAGAGGAGAAGGCAGGAAGAAGCTTTATGGCCCGAACAGGCAAAGAGCTGGAGACGGCCGCCGAAAGAAGGCGAAGAAGTCGGTGAACTCATGCCTTCTCTCTGGTCTACACCACAAGACTACGGTATCGTCCCCCGTCTCCGCGTCCTCGAAGGCTGGAACCCCAACACCGAGTACGCCACCCCGCCCTTCCACCCCACCTGCCTCTCCACCCGATCCAAAGAACCGCGCTTCAACCTCACGCCGTCTTACAATGACGGCTGGGAATACTGGATTCACCCGGAACATCTCGACAAGCCGTATATGGTTGCACGAGAGCCCGGGGCGAGGGTGAGTTTCGAGTTGGAGACAGGGGTGGGGATGGTGAAGATGTATGCTTTGAAGAGCAAGACGTTTGGGCTGGGGACGGTGGAGTGTTGGGCTGATGAGGAGAGGGATAAGGCGGAGAAGATTGTGGGGTGGTGGGATAATGGGGATGTGTGAGTGTTCCATTCTGGCTCAGGTTTTCCAAGGCTGATGGGTGTGTAGGAATATTGGCAGGTTTGCGACGATACGGACAGGGCTGTCGGCGGGGACCCATACGATAACGTGCGAGCTGTTGGAAGAGACGTCCGACCCTGGTGGTGGACATGAGTTCAGGATGATCTCGATGATGAGGTGCGTCTCCTTCTCTACAATGCTGGGACTGTATACTGACCACGAGAGTAGCGTATGAGCGCATCGAGAGTAGAGCAGGACACTAGTGTACGCAACGATGAGGGACCTTCATAATCATGGTCATCCATCAGACTTTTTACAATACCTCGCATCTCCGGCGATGGAATATGTTTATCATGTCAAAGTGTACAATTTCACTGTCTTACCTCCAAGACTATATCATGCGATGTCATATCATGCCATGTCGCAATGGGTCGTTCCGCAAAATAAGCAGATAGAAGATCGATCAAATGCCAGATGGTGAAAGTGCATGCCAGTAAATACAATTTTTCTATACGTGCTCATCACTCGCTACATTTTCTTCTCTTTCTTCGTGCTTAGAGCCCCTCAGTCAACTGCTCGGGATCGACACCCTCCCAAGCGATCTGGTACACCTTGTCAAAGAGCGGGTACGAGCGAGCCTTGCCCTTGGCGTGGAGGAACTCGTGGATCTCCTTGGCGGTGAGGGTACCTTGCAATCGTTGGCCGTTGAGCATCTCTTCTTCGAGTTGGTCGAAGGTCTGGTAATCCGCATGTCAGCTTTGTTGCCCTAGATTGGGAAGAGGGAGGAGGGGACGCACCTTGCCACTACCGACAAAGGCCTTTGCAACCCGACAGTTCCTCCCTGCCAGGCATGTGGTGATGACATCTGCGACACCGGCGCTTTCTTGGAGGAATGACTCTTCTTTGACGTCGTTGAAGAATTCTTGGCAAAAGTGCTTCATCTCAAGGAGACCAATTCGCATGATGGCGGCTGTTGACGCATGTCAGTCATGGTTGAAATGGTGAAGGGAGAGGAGAGGGGCCCACCCTTGGTATTGGAGCCGTAGCCGAGACCGTCGCAGAAACCGGCAGCGACGGCAACAATGTTCTTCAGGGCACCACAGAGGGAGACACCGGCAACCTAGATCAGCCTGAAGTCAGCGCTCTGATCACCATCCTCTTCAAAATCTCCTCGAGTCTTGGGAAGGGCTTACATCGTCAATCAGCTGCACCTTAAACTTGGGCGTTTGGAACAACTTTTGCCACAGCTCTCCATCCTCCTTGCTCCTGTACCCAATCGTAGTCTCCGAGAAGGTGTCCTTGGCGACCTCGTTGGCAATATTGGCTCCGGAAAGGGCAGAAGTCGGGATACCGAGGCGCTGTTCAATGACGTCGGCAAAGATGTGAATGTCGGCACCGCGGACGTCGACACCCTTGATGAGGGTGATGGCTTTGGCGTCTTTGCGGACGTGGCCCTCGAGTTGATCGAGGAGCTTGCCGAGGACTGTCTATAAGTGAGTCGAGATCTGAGACGAGAATAAAGGAGACGTACACTGGTGGGGAGTGACAAAGACGAGTGCGGTAGCGTCCTTGACAGTCTCGAGCAAGTCGGGAACGGCAACGATGTGCTCGGCGAGCTTGATACCAGGGAGGTACTTTTTGTTCTCGTGCTCAGTGTTGATCACCTCGGTGAGCTTCTTGCCCTCGAACTGTCATAGGCAATAGTGTCGTATCGGCAAAACGAAGAAATCAGGCAGAGATAGGAACGATAAGGAAGGATGGTCAGGTCCAGATCCAGCTCCATATAGTGGTAGCCAAGAATACGCACCTCTTCTTCAAAGACCCACATGGGAACGCGGGAGCCGTCAAAGACGTCGGTGTGCTTGGCGGTATTGATACCAGCAAGGCGGGCGATGGCAGTGCCCCTATGAAGGTGGTCAGCGCATGGAGCAGTAAGTTTCCCCCAATTTGCTGTCCCCCGTAAGAAAGGTGGAGCCCACTCACCAGTTACCGGAGCCGATGATGGCGACCTTCTCTTGAGGCATGATGGCTGTTGCTGTGAATGTTCTGGAGTATGCAGTAGTGGCGCGGCGGGCGGTGAAAGAGCTGAGTGCTCTTGCAGATGAATGGAAAAACAGGATGATGGGCAAATCAGGGCTTATGGGAGCACGAGATGGTTTATATATCTTGCACGATGACTTCACTTGCCGCACCGTATTCTCCCACGCTCGCCCGTCTCCTTTGCGACCATGATACAGCGGGGCACTAGCTCTGTGTACCGCATCAAAGCAGTCTTGATCGGGCAGCAACAGCACGCGAGCCAAGAACACCCCGGATCTTGAAGCAACCCTTTTCGTGCATTGGATCTGCGTACAACGCCGAAGAGCGAGTCCGAAAGTCAAAATGAGATTGCGGTCGTCCCCCACCGCACCTTTGTGCTATTACATTCTGTCTATCATGGGTGCATCATGTACTGTAGGGTGCGTCTGCACCATTAAACTCTGGGGCTCGCACTGCATGCAGTGGAACCGGCGGGAATACAAGAGAACAGTTGGTTATGGAAGACGACCGGTCCGGTATACGCGAATCGTTACGCGACAGTTACGCGACGCGCTCTCGCTCGGTAAAGCCTGACTCTGTTGGCCCTCCGAGTATCACCGAACATTCCATATTTTGCTGCTTTCACCCCCGCATTGAGCAAAAAGGTCGGATTCTGCGCCTGCGCCCTCGCATTATCTGAGCTCAATTTCCGTTGTGCTCAGAGATGGGAGTGCAACCAGAGTGCAACGGATGAACGAGCTGATGTTCGCTCAGGTCGAGGGAGGTCTTGCCCGTCCTCGGAAATGTCATGACCGCGCCGCCGGTCCGAACAAACCATCGAGCAGGGAAATCAAAACTCGGCAGAGTGTATCATCAATAATGTCAACCTTCTTTTCTCCTGAGTAAATACCCCGGGCATAATCACAGCAGAGCAACAGCCACGGTGAAGAACGAGAAGGTTTTGCTCGGTTTGCAGCGATGGTGGCGAAGGAAGAGGGAGATGCCTTCTCGTGGTCGCAAAAGCGTAGATCGACATCCATCCTTGAAAGTGAATGCATACTATCTGCTGTTTGTTCCTCAAAACACCACCTTTCACTCATTCGAAAGCAAGAGCTAAGCCAACAATTGGTAGTACGGTAGATACCACTTGGCGTGCTTCTTCATAACATCTAGACGGTGCTCTCATCACCGGCGCTGTCACTCTGTTCTTGAGCAGCAATTATGCTCTCAAGCTCCGCCATACGACTTTGCACTTTCCGTCTGCTGGTCCTATAATACGTTCTATGAATTGCTCGATCTGTCATACATGGTGATCAGCTCCGCGCCGCCGTGAATAGGATGATATTACAACACACTCCTCGCGTCCCACTCAGGATCTTCTTCCCTCTTGCGTGCCCTCCAATTCGCCAGTGCTATAGCTTTTGCTAACATGGAAAAGTGCGTTTGTCAACGCAAGTACTCGATCACAATCACAATAGTGCTATCATGAGCTGCACAAGGGATCTACCCAAAAAAGAACGACCGATATCAGATGAGTAATGACACCAGATCGTTGTTTCTGTGGCGCTCTTCCGCTGTCACTACCGTCGTCTGGGTTATCCATCTGGGAAGTATCTGTGCTATTTCATATGAGCCTCAAGAGTCCCAGTCAAGAAGCAACAGGCAATGAGCACCACATCACCCACCCTGAATCATCTGGCACATCTGCTTCCCCGGCAGATGAACCCTCCTCTGGCACACCTGCCTCACCAGATGACTCTGGAACATCTGCCTCACCAGATGGGCCCTCTTCCTCCGTCATCTGCCGGCGTGCTTGCTCAATGAAAGCGTAAAGAACGTCGTTCGCTTCCCTGTCTTCTTCCGATGCGTAGCTCTTCCATTGTCGCACAGTCTTGAGGAAATCAATCTGCGGTGAGAATGTCATATCAACGAGCTGAGTATTGGCGTACTCAAAACAGGGAGGGGTGCTAAGGGCTACTTACGTTAGACATACTTGCAAGCTGGTCAAGAGTCAGATTGCTCAACTGATCGAAAGACGACCCATCTGCTATCGAGTCAGCGCCTGATGAGATGTCTATACCCCCTCAATCGAGACAGTGTTACAAAGAGTAGTACTGCTGGTATCTTCTGCGTATGACTCACGGGAACTGCTCATTGTTGGGGGCAGAGGAGCTCGGAGATGTGATGTTTTACGAAGATTGCGATCTGAATGGTGACCATCGTCACCATATATTTACCGATGCCCAGTCGTTTCGACGGAAGACTTCTCAAGCGCGCACCGCTAGACAAAAGACCTTCTATATACATTGCATTGATGCGGAGAAAGATCTCACGGATTGCTGTGTATATGACAGGCTATTTTGAGTAGATGATTCTATAGCCCGTCATATGTATATCCTCCCTGCGCCGGAAGATGGGCGAATGCAGTAGACAAGTGGTTCCCCGCCATACTGGTCTACTGCCATGGCACTGAGATGAGGTATCCGCCGTTGTGCCGGCAAAGCTCGTTGACGTTATTGTGGAAGAAGGTCCAAGCGTTTGAGGAGGTATCCTGTGCAATTGGAAAACGACATCAAGATGGACTTTCGTCCTCCGAGGCAACAGACAAGCATTTGTTGGAATCAAGGTATGACTTAAAATGAGTCTAGTAGCTTCATGTATAGCTTTGGAAGAGCTATGATCGGCGCTGTAATGGGCAAGGTCACATCCTCCTTCCTCTGCCGGTAGCCCGGCTTCCAAGCTGAGAAAGCGGTCACGTATACTTTATTTGCATCCAGAGAAAAAGATTACCCACGCCGCTTGATGACTCAATGTAACTGCTGATTACCAATGGCTGATCCTGTGGGCGTCCATATTTCCTCGATCGTGTTATTATGCCGGTCGGGCCTGTATTTCATCTGCCAATCAATTTTTGTCCTCATGCATGCTAATGGGTCTTGAGTCATTCATTTGCAAATATCACTAATCATCCTCTGCGATGTCTCATTCAACATCATCACCATCTTGATCTTCTATAGTCACCCCGTCATGAGCAGTCTCCTCCTTTCCAGCAGCCGCGATTGCTTCTAGCTCTTTCAGGCGACGTTGCTTTCGCTCTCTTCGTGTATTCCGTTGGGCAATGCGTCTTCGTGTTCTTTCTATCATGTCAAATCAGCGAAGAGAGTCGTCGGCGTGGTGCCGAGAAAGAGCCACCACTGAACACGACTTGGCTTGGTAAGGGGTACGCACCGTTCTCACCCAGTCAGGATCGGTCAACACTTTATGCCTCCTTCTATTCCTCTCAGCTTCGGCGCGCGTACGAGAGCGGGCTATGATGCCGGCGAAAGAACGTGCCTGCTGTCAGCCCGGCACGCTGCAGCTCATATTCACGCAAGATCAGAGAACCATTAGTTTGACGTACAAGAGCTTGCAGCAGCATCATCGGTTGCTCCGCCTGGCCAGCCTTCTTCGTTGGAGCACTCACCATGACCATCCTGTGTGCTACTTTGTACATCAGTGTCAGGCGACTCAAGTTGACAATGGCTGAACGCGCAGGTGTCGAGACGGGTGCCACCTACAAGTACTCATGAAACGTGTCCTCGATATTCTGCGGTAAGCTATCTAGCTCATCGGCCATCTTCTGCTGTGCTCTTTCGATGAAATCGTAGAGACTGTCGTTTGACTCGCCATACGAAGGGCAGCTTTTCCACTGTTGCAATGTCTTGGTGAAGTCATCCTGCAACGGCACATACAAGGTTCAGCGGACGATTCTAAGAGACTGAGGTGGGGATTGCTTACATCAGACATATCTGCAAGCTGGTCAAGAGTGAGCTCGTTCCAGACATAGTCGGTCATCGACTCTTCTGATAATCAGTCAGTATTGGTTGATGATGATATAAGTGCCTCGCGTCGTACCTCTTGCCAACGTACTGCCTGGATCACTCATTGCAGTCAGACCAGAGTTTGGTTTTGATATATGTACCGTATGTCAGAAGGAAACATATTCAATGATCCCAACGAGACATGTCTATATATATGTATAGATATTGATCATCAGACATGTCCGCCAGGCCAGCATACATTGCACATCCGCTGGACAAGGGGTGCTCCTCCTCTTCTCCTCCTGCCAGCTCCAAAAAGGAGGAGTGGCTTATCGGTGATATAATCATAGTACAGGGCCTCACGTTGTCCTTAATACTACATGAGTATCTTACGATCCGGAAGGGCATGCGGGCAAGCCTGTACAAGAGCTCCTCCTTCTTCTTGACTCTTGGTAGACCACCACTCATCAAGCATTGGCTCAGATTGTGAGGTAAGAGCATCCATATGCAAGCAAGGGCGTCATCCTTCTCTGTGTACATTCTTCTCAACGTCCTTCCTCATCATCAGTACTCTCAGCCCCTTTATCAGTATTTGCAATGGACGTTTACAGATCTTCTAGACGACTTTGAGCCCGCTTACGTTGCAATCTCCATCTGCTCTCTCTCTCTTGCGTACAGTCTCTGCCAAACCGAAGCAGAGTCATCTCCGTGGTAACGGTCAAGTACTTTATGTCAACTGCCAACTGCCAAAGGTCACCAAATCATCTGCACAAAAAGCACGATCACGTTCAGGCCGGCTGCAGACGACTAATTTGAGAGACATTGGATACACGTCCATCATAATGGTACATGATTTCGACACAAAGCATGCACTGTAGCTAGAAAGGCTTATAATGGATCGTACAAGCGTGCAATGTACACATAGGTTAACAACAGCAACTCTTGCGCTCTCAATGGGTGCACTTCTTCTTCTCTAACAATCCGTTCATTCTTTCGGCTCACCTGTATGGACACGTGGGATATTCTTGATTAGGCAAAGTAAAAGCTTCACTACTGAAGAATCTTCGGTGTCTTATCCTTGAGTGACGCTCCCTTCACCGTCACCCGCTTGACCATCACCACCCTCTTCTTCTTCATTCTCCTCACCCTCTTCACCGCCATCCTCTTCAGCAATAGCAGCAGCAGAGATGTTTTTGAGCTCTTCTATAAGCTTGTCGTATTTCTCGTCCTTCGATCTCTGATAAGATTATCGCTTCCGTGCCGCTTCTGTCATGCAACGATTTCAGCTGGGTCACAGTAGTGCAGCATAGATTGATGCGATGGAATACACGGGATTTGAGAACAACGTACCACGCGCTTTCCAATCAGGATCTGTATTCTTCTTCTTTGTCCTATAGTCGGAGCTCCGCTCAGCAACACTATCTGTGATCGGAGAGAATGATCGTTAGCTCATCAGATGGCACCACGCTGTATATTGGAAAGAGTATGCAACGATTGCAGTAGTGGATTTGATGGACAGATACTTACTAGCAGGTTTTTCCTCTTCGACTGTTGTTCCCTCACTGTTGATGTATTGTTGTCATTAGTACGCGTCCAACGTATTCCAGCAGCCTGCTCGACGACGATTTGACGTACGGCAATCTTTCGGTGGGCACACGGCTAGATGAGCCTCCTTGCTCATGCTCAGTCATGTTCATCTCTTGGCGTGTCCGCTCCATGAAAGCGTAGAAACTGTCGTTTGACCCCCCATGCCCGGGCCAGCTTTTCCACTGCTGCAACGTCTTATTAAACTCTTCCTGTGGCAACAGCCGTTAGCGAGGAGCAACGACGTCGTTGTTGGAGGAGAGGGCGAAGACTGCGCACGCTGGACATATTTGAGAGCTGGTTAAGAGTAAACCTGTCCCAGTGGTTGGGCTTCCATCCCCCTGTGATCGAGTCAGTGCTTGAGGATGATTCATCTCCAGCAATGTATCATTCGCTGACCTTCTGTTGCTGTCGTCTGGTTGGGAATGCTCATATTGAGAGCAGAATTTGGTCTTGATATGTGTAGTACGAAGAAGCACCATCGGTGTGTTGTTTTCAGACATATATATGTATCTTTGGAGGCCTCAGACGCCTCTGCACAACGTCAGACATTCGCTGGACAAGGGATTATGGTATTAGTGGAGCGCGCTGAGCTCGCGGAGACTCATGTCATGTCAGGAAGAAGAACAATGACTATATTTAACCTAGAGTGACCTCCTCATGTCCTTGCGGAGAGCCTAGCTGGGAGCCATGGACTAAGGAAGTCATGCAGGAAAAGGAAGACACACAGGATCGCTCATTGTGGGCAGAGCTGTGGCCTGATATACAGGTGAGAAAAAACGCGTTCGGTATGATTATTTCACATATATATATATATCACCCTCCAGAGCTGCTGTCCACGAACAGCAAGACATTCTTTCGACAAGGGATACCCTCTATTGTGTACAAAATGTAAAATCTTTTTGGAGCTTCTGGCTTGTCACTCAAAAAACTGTTGAAATCTGTAGTCTGGTGAGACATTGTACTGCTGTATATCAATACATCAATGTCAAAAGTCTCTGCTGCTCATGGGCTGGTGATCAGAGCTGTTGATACCCAAACTTCTCTGGCTGAATTTCTCGAACGCTAGATAGACCTCCTTCCAGCGGCGGGGCTTTCGGAGCTTCCAGCTCGACCTAAGAGGACTGTCGAAATCAGAAGCTTGCTCAAAAAGTATATTACTGGAAGTCTCGTGTGCTATTCTTACTCACCCTATGGTATCTGGCCGAGGACCTTCCTCCGAGCCTTCGTCATGCGAAGCTTCTTCCTCTAGTCCTTCTAGCTCCCCAGTCATCTCTTGACGTGCCCGCTCAATGAAGGCGTAAAGACTGCCGTTTGACCCTCCATGCAAAGCATAGTTCTCCCACTGTCGCAATGAATCAAGGGAAATTCCCTGCAGTGGTCAACGGTCGGCGAGTGCTGCTGCTATGACAAGTAGGAGGTAACGGACTACTACCACGTACGTCAGACATAATTTTTGTAAGCTGATCAAGAGTGACATGGTCCCAGTAGTTGTCCTCACCCACCACATGTTTATCAGCCCCCAGAGCTGTCCACGTAACACCGGTCATCCGCTGGACAACAAGGGCCGCGAATTCAGTACGAGTACTCTTTATCATGTTTGGGCGCATATACGTAAAAAAGACCAAGGGATATTCTTACACCAGGCTGACCTCAGAAGATCGCGCTACCCGAGCTCCTCTCATCCCGCCCACAATGAAGTCATGCACAGATGTACGAAAGAGAGCCCACCACGATGCCTCAACATGGCCAGCGAGTGCCACCAACAAACAACTCAGAAAGGCCGCGATCACAAGCCGGGTGCCGGCGCGCTAGAAGGGAATGGTGCGTAACTTTGATCGTGACTGTATCCTGTCCCAATCCGTGCGTCCAATGAGCGGCGCGTGTCTTGCATGGGTGACTCAGGGATCGCCGTCCCTAAATTACTTTGGTGAATGCTTTTTCCTTGTTTATACGTCTTTTTGGCCTCCGTCAATTAAGCCAGTGTTTGGTTCTCTAATCCACGCCCCTATGCATTACAAATGGGTACCTCGCTTATACGCAGGGACAGCGCTGGGGCTAGTCGAGGCTGAGTCCTGTTCTGGAGCTTGTGCATAATTGATTGATGCCCGCGTATGCTTTTGTTGCGGATGATTTGAGATCCGGAGCAGCCGCGGTGAGGAACGAACTCAACATCCCATTCTCTCTTTCATCTCCATCTTTCGATCTTTACGCTATACCCACGCCAATCCTTGACACCCCCCCCCCCCTCATCCCGACTGCTGGCGTCTCCCACGTGAAGAGCCACGCCCACATTCATTACACCACACCCACGCTCGTTACCGACACCGTCACCCACACCCCTCCTTTGGCTCGCCTTCACCTGACTTGGTACTTCCACCCAGGTACAGTACATAAGCCGCCACACCACTCTTCACATTTCTCTTTCCCCTCTCCATCTCCATCCACCGCCAGCACTCTGCCCACCGCCAGCGACGTCCACGTGAGCCCCTCTCAAAACGTCTGTGCGCTTCCCTGCTCGGTGCCTGCCATCTCCCAGCCCCTCTCGCGTGACTTTTGCGCGTTGCCATCGTTCTTCCTGACCTTTCGACCGCCTCTTGCCCATGCTCTAGGGCTATAACGACACCAACGACCATACACCTGCTCCTATAGTACTACCCCGGACGCCTCTACGCGAGTACCCACGCTCCTACCTTTCCACCCCTTACCCTTGCTCCATCCCACACCTCCTCTACCACACACTCCGCCATGCGTGCTGCCTCCTCCCTCACCATCCTTGCCTCATGCCTCAGTGCCGCTTCCTGCGTATCTGCTGCCACTGCCGACCAATGGAAGGGCAAGTCAATATACCAGTGCGTCCACTTTTCAGCTCTGTGAGGATTGTGCTGACGCTAGGATACGTAGACTGATCACCGACCGGTTCGCTCCTGTCTCGGATACGGCACCCGCTCGCTCCTCCCCCATCCCTGACACCTGCAACCCCATTGACCAGACGTACGTCACACCCTCTGCGGCGCCGAAAAAGCCGGTACTGACATTTGTGGCAGCTGGTGCGGAGGAACTTGGCTTTCTATCATTGACAAGCTTGACTACATTTCCGGCATGGGCTTTGACGCCATCTGGATCTCCCCTGTCTCCCAAAACACCGACGTAAAAACTGCCTACAATTACGCCTACCACGGCTACTGGGTCAATGACCCCCTCACCCTCAACGCCCGCTTCGGTACATCAGACGACTTGAAGTCGCTGGTGAAAGCCCTTCACGACAGGGGAATGTACATCATGGTCGATATCGCCGTCAACAACATCCCTGGTACTTCCTACAACGACTCGCTCAGCTCTACTGCGCTGAAAGCCGACGGTTCTCGCTGGACTGATCCCGCCCAGTTCCACACCCGGTGCGACATCGACTACAACAATGCCACGTCTGTCGAGTATTGCTGGCTGGGTGACGAGAAGTTGCCTTTGATGGATGTCAACACCGAGAATGCAGAGGTCATTTCGACTTTGCAGACTTGGATTGCCAACTTCACCGCCGAGTACGAGATTGATGGTCTGAGAATTGATGCGGCCAAGCATGTTCCCGGGTCGTTCTGGACTGGATTCTGTGGAGCCGCTGGTGTTTTCTGCATTGGCGAGGTGTACGGTGATGACGTTGAGTAAGCTTTTCCCTTTGGACTTTGAGCCTAGCTGACGAGATGTTAGCTTTGCCGCCTCTTTCCAATCCGAAAACTATCTCGACTCTGTCCTCAACTTCCCTCTCTACTACGGCATCGTCAACTCTTTCGGCTCGCCTAAAGCCAACATGACCTCTTTCGTTGAGCACGCCACCGATATCATCGGTACCTTCCCCAACCCCGATCTGTTGGGCAACTTTATCGAGAACCATGATCTGCCGAGGTTCAGAAACACGACGGCGGATTCGCAGTTGGCGTATAATGCGATGGCGGCGCAATTCATCTTTGATGGCTTACCGTGAGTACCTTTTTCATCTTTTCTCGTTTTGATTTCAAGCTGACGAGATGATAGTACCGTCTACTATGGTCAAGAACAAGACCTCGCTTCTGGTTCAGCTGACCCTTACAACCGTGAAGCCCTCTGGCCCACCGAGTACGCCAACACCACCACCTACAACCATATCGCCCGTCTGAACGCCATCCGCCACGCCGTCATCAACAACGGTACCACTTTCAACGACAAGACTTTCCTCGAGTCAACGACCAAGATCGTGGCTAGTACGGGATATGATGTTGCTTTCAGGAAGGGACCGTTACTTGCTGTTTTGACCAACGTGAGTGGCAGAAGTCTTGTCGATGGGATGCAGCTGACAGGGAATGTAGCGAGGAAGTCCTAATGAGAATGCCAACTTTGGTGTGCCGACTGGCTGGCCCTCCCAATCTTCCGTTGTCGAGTAAGTCTATCTCTCTTTCAGTGTATGATCTGGCTGACTTTACTCCAGCCTCCTGTCTTGCAAGCAATACACCGTCGGCTCTGGTGGTGCCATCACCATTTCCTACTCTGCTTCCGGCTACGGTGGCATGCCATACGTCTTTACCGCGCAGGACGATACCCCGGCTCTGCAGCTTTGTGGCGACGCGGGCGTTGCCAAATATGTCAGCAGCAACACTACGGCTGTGACGAGTGCTGGAGAGAAGGTGGTTGGCGTATCGATGGGCTTGGGCATGGGAGTGAGTGCGCTGGTAGCGGGGATGGTTGGAGCTGGGCTTTTGACGCTGTGATCAAGCCTCGTCTCTTCTTTGACCCATATACCATTCCGCATCATGCCTCCCTCCTCCCTTCGCTGCATCATCCATACCCCTTCATCAATCATTCAACATTCCTACTATCGGCATACCGATTCTTCATCCGCACACGCCCCCCAAACCACGGCAATCTTTTGACCTCACTGTCTTTCCCGCATTTCACATGGCTTATAATTTCAAAACAGACACCGCTTTTTCAGTAACTTCATGCTGTATATTGCGCTCATCTGCGCTATCAAGTGATACTTTTTACTTTGGTTTATAATCACTCTTTTCATCACAGTATACTCCAATCTTCATTCTTCGCTCAACCTTCCATTTATCGTGTGGTTTTCAATACGGACTTTTATTCTATACCGTAGGAGTATGTGTTGTATCTGTAGAATTTGGGAGGATGAGGCTTTGACGAGCCGGTGCTCGGGAGGGGGTTATGGTAGCTAGGATAGAATGGCCATTTTATGCTATGCAACCCAAATGAGCAACCACATTTATGCGAGTCTCTTCTTTTGCACTACTACGACATAGTCATTCAACATGTGCCTCGCGGACATATAAAATGAACCACCGGCTTGAGAATGCAAAAGCTTTGTTGGCATCAAAATTGAGATATGTGGACGTGAGGTGTGAATCCACTTGGATATGGCTTGGCATCGGCCTCGTCCGCCCGTCAGGCAAAAGTAGCAGCTATGACCTGTGCTGGGCCAAGTAGCAACGTTCACCATACAAATCTGCCAACAATGCCAGTGCATGTCTGCATGGGCCGGCCCAGCTTGACAAAGGAGGAAAGAGAAGGCGCGTAGCCTCTAGGAATATGCCCAGAGGGGCAATGCGCGTCGACCGAGCGGCTTTACGGTATGACTGCATCATTTCTTCCCTTCAGTCTCCCTGGCATACGGAGAGGTATGCGCAGGCCAGCCATGCACCCAGATGTTCCAGTGTCTGAAGAAGCACCAACCACGTACAGCACAAATGCTGCATGAAAGGAACATGACGCAGGAGGTGTCCCGCGCGCTTTGGACTAGAACATTTATTTTCTTCTTTCCTCTTTCGGTCCCACTCTTCTTGACTTGTCTTTCTTTCCCGCCACTTCCAAAAGGGTCATGGGTTGCGGCTGCAGCCCTCTATCTTGCTGCTGAGAGACTGCCCTCGAGAGACACCCCTGTAAGGACTTCCAGTGAGTCCATGCCCCCCTCATGTCCACTTCGCTGACTCGTACCAAGCCATGCTTATTCTTGCAATACTCCTGGCCACCACCCTCAGCGCATGGGCAACACCTCTCCAGCCAACGTTCTCCTCTTGTCTTCTTGAAACTTCCCCAATAGCAGCAGCGGAGAATCTTCTCGACGTCAATGATGTCTACGCCAGCCTCGTGCCCGGAAGGCAAGCAAAAGAGCTTGGGCTGGTAGGAAACGGGCGTGATGTGCTGAGGCTGGACCTCGTTGGAGTAACAGGAGCAGTGCTGAACGGGTATGATAATACTACAAACAAGCTGGGTTAGTGCAGCATCCCTTTCCCCGAACCAACGACTCACCAGGCTCGCAGCGACGCTATTCACCGATACACATGCTGCCTCATTCAGTGTCTACTCGTCAACCAGCTGGCTCTGTAACTCGCTTTTCCCTGCCAACCTCCCGACCCCATACTACCCCTATAATACGACATACTGCCCTCTCGCCGCTGGTGATTTCGCCGTGAATGTCTCGATTCCTCTGTATCGCTCGTATGCGCTTACGACCCTACGCACTCGGCTTCGCGTGGTCGACACTTCATCATCAGCTGCCAATCTCGCCTGCATCGACATTCACGTGTCTCCGTATAAGAAGACGGGGTGGTATTACGAGTTTTTCTTGTACCTTCCCGTCGCCATCCTGCTGGGTTTCTGGCTAGTCTCTTGGGGAGCGAGATTCGTGACTGGATGGATCGTGGGAAGCGGTGTTGCAGAGTATGGCCAGAAAGAATCTGCCGGAGCGAGGCTGGTGACGGGAGGTTCGAGCAGAAGGGAGGCGACGATGAGAAAGTGGGGTACGATGATTATCAGTGGGCTGAGTGGTGAAAGATTGAGTGTCAGTGGGAGTCTTTTACGATTCGGTGGGTACCTTCACGCTTGTAAAGAGGTGTCGCTGACCAGCTCTAGTCACTCCGGGTGTTCGAGACATTCTCTTCCACATCCAATACGCCGCCATGCTCGGTATGATCTCGGTCCAATGGCCCGAGTTCTCGTACCCCATCTTTGCACAAGGCGCCTGGGCCCATCTGCTCGGCAACACCACCATCGTGCAAAGCTCCGACTCTGAACGGATTGACACCTACCCCAGCAACTACACCCCTTCCCTCGCCTTTTCTGGGCAAATGTCCGACTCGCAATATCCCCTCTACATGGACGACACTGCGTTTGACCCTCTCCTTGACTTGCACCAATCTAGTCGAGGGATGGAGTCTTTTGCGACTGCTGTAGGGCTGAGGGCACAGGATCTTTTTGGGACGTGTCTTGTCATCTTCTTGTGCATCGCGGGTGCGGTGTTGGTCATCAGTTTGACTCTCTGGTTCTTCCATGGACTCATGGAGTACCTCTTTGGCGGCAGCAAGCACGGTTCACCCGTGGGCAAGCGGGCTACGCTGGGAACGAGCCCCCGACCTAGTTTGGGTGGAAAGGAGACGCTTGAAGGCAGAAATGCGTCCTCTACCGATATGCTGGGATCACTTCCCACGCAATCAGCATTCTTCAGCCACAAATCATCTTCGCCCGGACACCTGAGACGTATCTGGCTGCGTTTCCGACCAAGAGGCGAAGCTGGCGCTTTCCACGCTGCTGCTCTTTACGGGAACCTCATCCGCCTCATCCTGGTCTTTCACCTCCCCGTCACCATCTTTTCAATGTACCAGCTCTGTCTTGGCTCGCAAGCTAGTATCGTCTCCCGTGTCTTTGCCGCCCTTGCTTTCGCCTTCATCTCTGTCCTCTTCCCCGCCCTCATACTCTGGAAGATTTACAAAACCCCCACCGGAAAACTATATGACGCCACCCGTACCCTCCTCTCCCTCGGTCCGATGTACAACATCTACGTCGAGAAGAAGCAAATGTATCGGGCCCTCACCCTGCTCGCAAGTTTGGTCATCGGTATCGCCGTCGGCGCGGGACAAGGAAGTGGATTGGCACAGGCAATAGTGCTGATCATTGTGGAATTGGTCTTGCTGATTGTGCCTGGTGTTTGGTACCCATGGGGCGAGGGGGCGAGTATGGGCGCGCCCAATGCGTTGCTAGGCGCCTTGAGGTTGATCAGTGTAGTCCTCGTCATGCTGCTCGCCAAGATTGTAAGTTCTTTGCATTGCGTTCAATAAGCCCACAGCTGACACTTTGTTCCCAGATCGGCATGTCAGACACCGCCTTGGACTGGATAGCCTACGCCGTCCTCATCCTCCAAGCAATCATATTCGTGTTTTTCCTCTTTATGCTCTTTACCAAGATCATCGAGGGCTCCATCCGGCTGTTTGGCGGTGTGCACTTTGACGAGTCGACGCATCCGCTCGATGGAGGGATCTTTGCGGTGATCATGGATTTGGACTGCTTGAACCCCGTGCGCGGGGGCAAGGCTGCAGAGAGGAGGCGGAGAAAGCATGGATCGAGACAGTTGCAGAAGAACGTCTACGAAGCTGGCAGTTTATCTACGCAGATGATGCTGGATAGGCATTCGCAAGGTGTCCCCCGTCATCCGACAGCAGAACAATCCACCCCCTTCCTCTATCCCGATCAACCTCCCCTCGGGCCGCCTCCTATCGAACGCCAAAGCTCCGACAGACGGAGCTCCGAGTCGAGGTCGGAAGAAAGGCATGGAGAGGCGAATATCATGGATGCTTGGCGGCCTGCTCCTGGGCCTGGTGGGCTGGGGTACGCCCCGCCGGGGATGTATGTTCCGCAAGTATCGTCCCCTCCTATGTCGCCTGTGCCGAACCCGGCGTATGGGACGGGGAACGCACCCAGCAGGAGCTTTTCCCGTGTACGAGGCGGTCGGTCGAATTTTGAGCATCCGTATGATATCCAAGGGTCTGCGTCGAGTGGGGTACCGGTGAGGACGGCGATGGCGATGCCGACGCCGACGATCAAGGTGTCGCAAGCGGGGCAGAGACCAATGTCGCCTCCGCATAACCGGCAATATTCGTCTTCGGCGTTGATAGAGATGGCTTCTTCGCCGCAGAGTACACCTCCTTCAAGGGGCATCGAGTTGCCGGCTGCGTACCCTACGTCTCCGCCGGCACAGACGCCGCAAGGGATACGGCCCGATAGGCAAGGCCAACGCCCGCCCGCGCTTGCCATTCCCAGACGCCGGTCGTTGAATGATATCAAACAAGATTCCGACATGTCTACCGACTCGCAATACTCTGAGCATGAGAGGAAGAAGAAGAAGGGGAAGAGACGGAGTGCGGGGTGGTTCCATCGGAATGAGACGCGGGCGGAGGATAGTGAGAGCGAAGAGAGCTCGGATGATGAGCCTGGGCCGTCGAAGCGAAAGACGCGCAAAGCGGCTTTGGTTGCTGCCCGGATGCGCGAGCCAGAACCGTTTGAGGATGTGTCCAATCTCGAGCCTCAGCCGCCTGCGTGGAAGCGGATGTTGGGTATGAAGAAGAAGCTGGGCGAGGAAGAAGAGTTGGAGAGGGACGAGAACAAGGCGAGGAAGGCTGCGCTGGCGACGGAGAGTGGGTCGTTGTTTGCGGGTGTGCAAGCGCCAAAGCCGTCTCCGAAGAAGGGCTTTGTGGTCAGGCGGAGTGGGGAGGGCGGGCCGACGTATGTGCCCATGGCGGCTCCTGCATCTCCGCCCGGTGAACCGCAGTCTGCATCGACGAGCTTTAGGGTGAAGCGTATGGGCCAGCCTCAGCAGACGCCTACGCCGCAGAGGGTGGACTCGCCGACCGAAGTCAAGTCTGTACACGCGAGCCCGTCCTCTCAGTACTTGCCGCTTTCAGCTGCGGGAAATAGTACAGGGCGAAGCAGCGGGGAAAGCACGGGGGAAAAGAAGGGGTTCAAGGTGATCCGGCCAGCGAAAAGTGCTGCCCCATCGTCTGCTGCTAGTAGTACCGGCTTTGTCGTCAATCGTCGGTCGTCGCCCCTTGTCACGCCGACTGGCGAGAGTCATCCCGCGCAGACGGGCTATCCACCGTCGTCTTTTGTACCGATGGGGAGGGCGAGTCTGGAAGATGGAATCCCCCCCGCGAGGCCGATGAAGAATCCGAGGCGGTCTAGTGAGAGCCAGAGGGGAGAATAGTGTGTGTAAGCTGTAAAGAGGGCGTATCTTGGTTGTCAAAAGGTCTGCGTTTACAAGGACTTTAATTATATAATACACGTTCGATTAGTCGTTGTCTCTGTGGGATCCCTGTTAGCTTGTGATGATAATAAGTACATGGATGAGATGTGGACGTTGAAAGACAGGCGCGTGGGAGGCACGGAATGACGCGGGGAATTGTAAACGAGCGTTATCTCACCTTATCAAAAATGGGACAGCTCAAGACAACGTCGACTTGGTCCATCTCTTTTCTTTTCTTTTCGTTCTACTCCCCTCCCTGCATCCCATGTCCCCCGCCCGCTGAACGCCCCGCCATGCCCGC